TGCAAAACTGTGAGCAATGCCATTCCAGTAAATAGAGATTAATTAATTATTTAGAAACACCTTGAAATGGCATCGCTGCACGGATCAGACTACATCAAGTCTTGTTCAAACTGGTCTAGACTCTGTAATGTCGCATATGTACCCTGCTGACCAGCCTAAGCTGGTTTGCTGCTTTGAAAGGTAAGGTTCACCCAATAATGAACATTTGCACGCTGTATTTATTCTGCTTTATGCAACATTTTCTTCTGTAGAACAAAGGTTTTTGGCTGAAACTGTGGTTCAATCACTTTGGTGATTCATATTATGCAAGTCAAAGAAACAATTACAGGCAACACAAAATTAATAGGCTACCTCTTTGTGTTATACATCAGGGCTAAGCAGTCCATGCGCAAAAAAAAATAAATAAATAAATAAATTACAACATTATTAGCTTTAATCCTCTGCAAATGTACCTATGGTCAAAATACATTCCCAGGTAGCAAAGAATTTTGGCCCAAATTTGGCCTAAATGTGGCACAGCAGGCATTCATCCGACACTGGTATACAGCATGTGCGCCAAACATGGCCCTGTTTTGGCAAAGGTGGCACCGTCTTTAAGGCGACACACAATACTTGGGCCAGATGTAAAATGCAGTATTTGGCTCAGATGTTAATAATTGGTACATGGAAGTTTGGCCTATCTTGACCCACATTTAAAATACATATATATTATTTAAAAATAACGGAAAAAAAATCTACTTATCAGATTGCTTCAAGAAAAAGCACAGCTACATCACACCTAAAGCACAATGATTCATGGGTTTATCAATTTCATTGCCATTGTGACATACTGTACCAACATATCTGGCCCAGTTCAGGCTCAGTTATGGGTATTAACTTGGCTGAGACTTGGCCCAGACATGGTCCATGTTTGGCCCTTGCCTGGAAGCTAGACTTGGTCCAGTCATGTACCATAATTCACTCCAGCATGTGGGCCAAGCAAAAGCTGATTGAGTGGGCCAGAGCTGGGCCAGAGATATTTTGCTATGTGGGTTCTTTTTTGCAGCAAGATTTAAGTACATTTAAGTAAATTTCAGTTTATATGTAGATGTGTCTCCTATTATACTGAGAATTAAAAGTATAGAACTTAATAATGCTTTATTGTTTTTGATAAAACATTAAGATTTTGAGTTTATTGTCACATTTCTGCAGATCTGAACCATAGACTAAAAAAAAATCTAGTGAACTAGTAAATGTGAATGTAAAGCGCCATCCTGCGGTTGTGCATTTACTTGTTTGTGTGAAACACTCCAAGAATTCATGCATAGATTATACATCTATTATGTATGGCAAATTAAACCTGCAAGGTATTTTGCATAGTATTTTGATACATAATACCACAGTAAACCCCTGCAAATTACGATGTAAATGTGAATGATATCAGTAGATATGTAGTTGCTCATTTAGAAAACTTCAAGTGTAGAACTAATGACACCAGAGTGATATGAGATGTTGTGGCGCCATCTGCAGGAACGAGGCGGTTTGCCAGAGCTGCAGATTTAAATAAATTGATTTAAAGAGCCCATATTATGGGTTTTTGAAAATTCCCCTCCATGTAGTGTGTAACACAGCTCTAAGTGAAGTGAAGTATCCAGCTAAGGCTTAAATCTGTAAGAATACAGTGTTTAAAACTGTTGATTCATCTATAAAAGAGTCGAATCATAGTGCTTCAAACGAGTCGCCTTGATACCGACTCATTAGGTGTTTCGCCATGACGTACGAACGAAACAAAGTTTTTCACGTGCACGCGCAAACCCGGGAGATTTCAAACCTGAGGCCCCGCCCTCTGACGCAGTAACCCAGACACACACACACACACACCCACAAACACACGCACACCCACAAACACACGCACACAAACATGCCGGTCGATTGAAGTCACACTGCAGATGGATATTATATTGAGTCTCTACCCAAAGATGAAACATCAGCATTATAGCCAAGCAGTTGGAAACTTCTGGAAGCTACATGCTACAAAGAATACTTTATCTGAGTTTGTTAAAGGAAGGATCAGTAAAGAGTAACTGATGGACGTCAGGATGGGTTTCTTCCTACATTTCTCAAGTGTAAGTACGTGCGGTTAAAGTTGTTGCCTCGTTTACTCTAGCTTGCAAATGTATTTAGTTGTGATTTGTTACTTGTAACCGCGAGTACTGTATCAGGTTAACTGGATATATTATCTTATCGCGTGCAAAGTCACGTTAAAAACGCGACGCGTGCTGTTTGTTTATGGAGCTCCGTGCTAGAGTTCTGCTCCCGCGATTTATTCGGAAATGTATTCCCGCGCCGCAGAAATCTGGCGCGGGGAGAGAGAGAGAGAGCGAGAGAGAGAACGAACGAACGAGCTTTGTGTACTTTGTGCTGTGTGTGTGTTTTGATACAGACAGCTTGGCTGTCTGGACTGTATACTGGGTGATATTTGGTTGTGTTCTCCGCTCTAGCGGGACCGGGCGCGGCGGGCAGAAAACGGAGCGGGTTCTCAGGCTAAAACCTGGCGGGTGCGGGCTGAAGCGGGAGCGTTGTCATCCGGAGGTGTGTGTGTGTTTTTGTGTGTGTGTGGTATGGCGAGTACACGACTGTCTCCTTCGTTCGGTTATCCGTGGCACTATCCACTCGCCATAGTGTGGCAGCTAAAGTCCACTTCTACACTATCGAGCGTGTATGAACTGTGATTACTTTTTAAATTGCTGATTAGCTATTGGCCATTTCCCTCTCTGACTGAAGGCAGTCGACCAATCGCGACAGACTGTCATCGGCCCAATCAGCGCAGATTAGCTTTGCGCTAAGGAGGGGTTTGGGAACAAATGAATCACTGGACGATTCATACAGGAGTCGCTGGGATAATTAGATAAAAATAAATGCAGATTATAAGACCATGAAAGTGTTTTTTGACCTTGCATGCATATTAGACTGTTGTTGGAGACCCTTACAACCAAGATATGACCTTATTTCATGTATAATATGGGCTCTTTAAACTCTACAAAAATGTCCTACTGTTTTTTACAATCGTTTTGCCACAAAGGTCAGAACTTTGGTGTCAATTTTTAAAACTCTTGACACAAAATTCAAAACCATTGCCAAATTGTATGTTTTTGCATAACTCTTTTTTTTTTCAAATGCTTGGAAACAATACACACGTCAAAGATACTTTGTTCATTGAACTAAGATCATCTTTTCAATATAACACAATTAAACATCAAATTGATCCCTTTTCAAAATGCAACTCAAACATTACATTTGAATAAATGCGTATTCATTTACTTAACATGATGTTACTATCAACTGATACAAGCACTCAGAATGATAAATAGCTGTTGCATTATTCTTGGTGTGTGGAAACTGATGTACAATATTACATGTTTAGATGATGAAAGTTTCAGGATAGATCAAATGACATCAGTTACCTCAGAAGATGACCCAACTGGACTACATTATCTATAGATTTCATTTTTATTCATCCTTATTCCATATTTAGGGTTTCTTTGTTCCATCCGTGTACCACTTTTACAGACAATGTTTTTGTATATGACATTACTGTACTGTATGTAAGAAAGCCCAATCACAGCAGACCAGTGTCAGGCCTGGGTTCACATTAACAGAAGGTTCTTTCCAAGATTTTTGATTAATGAAAATATGACTGTGATGTAGAGGAGAACCTGTAACCAAATCCACAAGACCAGACTAATGATAACACAGATCCCAAAACAGAAATCTGATATATAGAAATATATGCAAATTACCTATGTGACATAATAGTTCATATAAATTGTACATATATAAAGTACGCCACACATGTCAAAATATTGTCCATATGGCTGTATAAGCGCGCGCACACACACACACGCACGCACGCACGCACGCACGCACACACACACACACACACACATGGTTAAAAAAAAGTACTAGTTCAGCGTTTCCACTGCCTGTACTGTTCCCTCTACACATTTATAAACCATAATAAAACCTGTATCATATATTTTATACATCAATATTTAGTGATTGTTAAAGATTGTTTAATAAAACTATGTGCATTTTGTGTGCTGGTTATCTAAAGTTGTGTTCCTGTAGTATTTGTATGATAAAACGATTATGTGAACCAATGATCCTTCAAATCCAGGAGTTCCTAAAGGAAATGAATGCAGCTTGCAGAGTTTTAAACAATGGAGAGCATGTGTTAAAAGTGGTGAGTGTTTAGAGTTGTGTCTAGGTTTTTGAGAATTGACATCAGGGTTGTAAAATTTGTGGCAAAATAATTGAAAAAAAACTGTAATAGATAAAGACACCTTTTTATATGTTGGTAAGTAAACAATATGTTTTACTTCATGTATGAACTACAGTAATGACGTCATGTGTTTTTGCGATTTGCGTGCGTGCTAGAGGGTATCAAAATAGCTCATATTTACATTTCTGTTTTGTTAGCGCATTTGCATAGAAGTCAGACATGTTAATTTCTGCTTTAAAAGTATGGCTTCATTTTTGTAAATTTGCATTTCTTTGGAGCAGCAAAAATAGGATATGTCTGACTGAGACATGCTTGGACATGTAGCCTACATAACATCGACCTGGTTTTGATGCAAGACAATTTCTTAGAATCCCAGTTGTTTTGACATGAGTCGTAACAATTTCTAGTTTCGTTTAATTTAACCAAATATATAGTATCAATTTCTGACAGAAAATATCACGTTTTTATCAAAAAAAAAAAAAAAAAAAAAACTATTTTGGAGAGTAAGACCCATCCCCCCCCCCCCCCCCCCCCAAAAAAAAAAAAAAAAACTGGAGTAGCCTTGTTTTAGCCAAGACGACTGTTTAGACGTCCTTTAAACATATATTAGACATCTTTTAAAAACAACAAAAAATGCTTGCTAGGTCCTGAAAAGCGCTATGAAAATGTAAGGAATTATTATTATTTCTTTTTATATTTTAATAGATACATTTATACATTTTAACAGATAAATGACAACTTTTTTTATATAGTAAACTGGTCATTTTTAATGAATAGCATGATCATGACATAAATGAACGGTTTATGAACATTCCAAGATACATCAGTGCATCATATGACCGAAGACTAAAAATAAATCATAAAAAAATGAAATAACATAAAAGTCTCATCAGACAAAATATCAACACCAATAAAATGACATAAAATGCATCACTGACACAGCAGATCATGACATTTGTTTCATAAGTATATACATATGTAGACATAAACATTCTATTATTATTGCATGGATATGTGCAACACTATCCCCCCTCTGAAAAGTACATTTAAAGCTTGATTTACAGCATTTTAACAGAAAGGGTTCTTCTAATCACAAATAATGCACAAGCAGAAAACAAACATTACAAGTCCCTTTTCTAAATACGCTCTTAAATCACTAAGATTGATCTCTATTTTTTTCAGTAGTGGAATCTCTTTTAAGCATACGGTTCCCTTTAAAAAAAAGGGAAAATAATCATTTGCTAGATGCCCCAAAATAGTAATACAGACATATGAATACATTTCCAGAATTTACAAAATCTCAACGTGGACGCAATGCAGAATAAAACTCCTTCACGTTTCCTTTTTAAGAAGACTCATCATTTGTGTACATAAAACGGACAATAATATCCAATAATAATCAAATGACTAGGTATCAAAAAGTGCTATTATAGCATGACAGCAGATAAAAATAAAGGAAAATGGTCAGACTGCGATGCTACAATGAAGAAAAATGGCTATACTTGATCTTTCATCTAAAACAATGCACACTTAAAAAAGTGAACAGGCAGATAAACTGGTTACATCTAAGAAAACGATTCAACTTAATTTATTATTACAAATTAAGTTAAAAAAGTGTAATCTATTAAGTTTAAAAAAGAGGTAAATAATTAAGTTATTTCAACTTAATTTAAAGCATTTTTACCCAGTTATATTTTTTCTAATTCGACCCAACAGTTCACTTTTTGAAGCGCATGTTTTGTTTTAGACATGTTACTACATTTCATCAGATCGGTGTTGTTGTATTATGACTGAGGTGGGTTTCTGCTCCATCCAGCTCTCCTTGGATTTGCTCTGGCCATCATAGATGACCGGTGGTGCACCAGAGTTCCTGTGAGATTCGGACAGAGTGGCGTCTGCTTTGAGATCTGACTGTGGCGGAGCGGGGAAGTCGGAGGAGGAGTTGCTGTTGACTCCAGACTCAGAGTCGGACTGCTCCAGCCGCTGGTAATCTGGTGTGTGGTTCTGACCGGCCGACAGAAGAGCCTGGTTATTCTCAATTGTGGCCACCAGAAGTACATCCTGATCCACCACTTCTTTTGCAGAGGTCGATATGATGTTGTCCTTTTTAATAGCTGGGTAAGATCGCAGGGCTCGGGACATTCCTAGAAGGGAATGGAAAAGAATATTATTTTGTGATGTCAGAAATGTAAGTACTCAAGTAGAACACTGATGCTACTGTACAACATTAATACACCAGTTTGTTTTTTTGTATAATAAAGCTTTTGAGTTTAATAATTAAAGTAACTTTTATCTCTTTTTAAAAACTTTTTTTGCTCGTGGGTTTCTAAAAAAAAATAATAATAATTGTGATTTAAGTGACAGTTTATTTGCTTGGTTTTTGTCTTATTTAGTCAAGGGCCGGCATAAGTTTCTGAAGGTATGAAAGGCTAAATGCGGGAATCCTAAAGGTAATTTCAATACCTTTTAGAAGACCTAAAAATATTTTCAGATCTCATTGCCACTTCAAGTTTTAATAGTTATCAAACCTTTAACTTAATAAACAGTTGTAAATAAACTGTTGTAGTTTATCAATCTAGCACAACCATGCAACAGAACTCAGATAAGCTCGGAAGAAACAAAGCTTGAAAGAATAAAATACGCGGTTGTTTTCAGCAACAGGCTTCAGCATCTGTTTAAACTTGTCATTCTACAAAAAGGAGTAAGCGTACATTTTGTAATCTGTTTTGCTCTATAGTTTCGCTACACGTGGAGAGCATCACATCATCTTTGTCGCAAATTGCATCACCCGGACAGAGGAGCTTGGCCGGATGCGCCACAGTCCAAACCAATCATGTGAATCGAGCACGCCATTATTAATATTAGGAGGAAAATAAATATACAGAATTTTTTGAAGTAAATGCTCGAACAAAATTTAAGACCTCGTAAAAATGTGATAAGGACTTTTTAATACCTTTTAAGGGCCTTAATTTTCTCATAATTGATTTATCATCTTTTAATACTTTTTAGGACCCTGCGGACACCTTGTATGATAACCTTGGGTGACAATATCACGATTTCACAGTATTGTGATTCCTGCTCTAAAATAAATTATTTTTAAAATGTCTCTATTGAACACAATATTTTTGATTTTAGAAAACATTTATAATATTTTGGAACAGTAAACATGTCTTCTCCTTCTTCTTAGTTTCAAAAACAGATTTCTTTTCAACACATAAAACAAACACATTAACCTTTACATGTATCATAGGAATGGTATAACGGAACATTTTTGTGGTTTGAAAAGCCTTGACTTCTCCAACACGCAGTTAACCTTGAAACCGGGTTATCATCCCATGCCTAGTCTCATTATTCTGTTAATTGACTTAATCATTGTATTTAATAAACATTTTAAATGGTAAATTCTACTAACTTGAAAGTAGTCTGTTTTGTAATTTATAATTATAAGAACTATTTATAGAAATTATTTCTGAAAATCCAAATTAGTTCATTAAAGTTCATTAGCTTATTATAAAATGAATGAATGTGGTATCAAAATAACAACGTATATATAAATGCAATGAACATACATATATTTATGTGTGTGTGTGTGTGTGTGTGTGTGTGTGTGTGTGTGTGTGTGTGTGTGTGTGTGTGTGTGTGTGTGTAAATCTTTAAAATGACAGTTAATTTGTAAAACTATCAGTCCAATTTTCAAATTTGAAGGTTAGTTTAGTTCAGTTCAGTTCAGTGTGGTTTTATTTCACTGCTGAAAGTCCAAACACTGAAGAGCGAATCCAGCTATAAGCAGCTTAACAAGTTTTTATATATATATATATATATATATATATATATATATATATATATAAAGTTAACATATAGCATATAGCTTGTAAATATGCCTGACAAGATTTATTTTGTACAAAAGCTATTGTTACACTGAACAACTTCTATTTAACTGTAAGTCAAAAGAGCAGAACAACAAGCTTGACAACATTCCTTACTGTAACAAATCAGCTCACCTGTGGATGACGCATACAGGTCTTTCTGATCGCTGCTGCCAAACGGATTGACTGAAGGGAAAATAATGAGGCAGAAAGAAAGCAGGAACACCTGGAAATTGACGACAGAGAAGATCCAGAAACATATTGCATGTTATTGAATAAATGTAAAACAGAAACAAACAAAAAAATGACATGCTGGTGAAAGTTCAAACTTATACACCATACTTGAGATTAGATTAAAATAACACAGGGGCAAAATACTTACCATAATACAAGTGCTAGTCGTGGTGGTTTTCATTGTGGACATTTTTACCATAGCCTGCAGTTTTCTTAGCTGTTCAATTAGGGACCTGAAGACACAAAAACGTGTATTTATACACATTTTAATGATTTAATAATTAAACTGATAATTTGATTCTTAATTTAATATCTAACCGGGACTCCTGGTCCTCCATATATTATAACCTTCAGGACAAAAGGAAAAATAGAAATACACTTACATGTTCTGTTTGTGCAGCATCTCAACTTTCTTTTGTAATTCCTGGTTGTGAGCAGTGCAGACAGCAACCCTATAGACATACAGAATATTTGCTTAAATATCTTAAAAAATTATTTATTAAAATACCCCAAAATTACCACGCTGTTCTAAAGTGAGGATTTTTTTGGTTAGGAAGAATAAATTCTAAAATAGATTAAAAGTGACAATAAACCCTTCTTTCTTTTGAATAGTAGCATTACATGTGGTACTTTTGGTAAAAAAAAAAGTCATTTAAAAAGATTTAATAAAAAAAAACCGCATTTTAATGTGCTCTATTTATTTACAATTCTTCAAATTTTATATACTGAATAAGTTAATAATCAGGATCAACTGAACACAAGACCTTTATAGTTAACTAGTTATGTGCTGCTTGTATTTTGAGAGATATTTCCACACTGACCTGTTCTCTAGGCCGTCAACATAAACTTTCTTCTTCTTGCGACTCTCTTGAGCAGATTGTTTGTTCCGGATCTTTCTCCTCACTCTCTTCAGGGTCCGTTCCTCTGCCTTAAGAAACAATTTAACATTTAACACTGTCGTATTGCATTAAATGAGCAATTCATGAAAACTTCTATACGAAACCATAATAAATCAAAAACCCCTTCTGTTACCTTTGTAAGAGGCATGTGAGATGGAATAGTCGCACCTTCTTTCGCCAAAAGTCTCTTTTCCTCATCAGTCAAAACAATCTCTTTGAACTGGAACTGCAGATAAAAGAGGCACATTATACTGTAACAAAATGCTGTCCAATTATTCTTTTTCAGACATTACTTTATCTATAGTATATAACATGGCTTTATGTGAATAAAGATACATAATGTTTCAGATGTTTTAAGTAAAGATACATGGACATATTAGGGCTTTAGGGTAGTATTACGATCTAGCACCCTGGCCCAGTTGCCTGACAACTCATTTCCACCCAGACTATATTCCTAGTTGCGTCGCACAGTTACTAGAAAATATGAAGTGACTTAATGTGGCATTCAACTAATCAACAAACTGGAGGATGAAGATGGCTACGGTTGCTCGGTTTTCATTGTGTTTCATGACAATGGAAAAGGACTGCAAAAGTTATGTAACTGAAACTGAAAAAAAAAGACTAAATCACCTGTGACAACTTGTAGGCCTGCATAAAATTGAGGATGAGAAAACATAGCCACAAAGGAAAGCCCCAGCCCCAACAAAAATGTCGCAAAACAATTTTTAAATGTAATCAGTGGTGCTTTGAACACTCTGCAATACATCTTCTGACGCATGTCTTGCAAATATGGCAGCTGGGAATTCCATTCTTTTGGTTCTTTCTGAAGAATTCTGGGCCAAAATAGGCTCAATGTTACAGTCACTGGCCTTGTCGTTCATAATAAAAGAGAACAGACTTTTCTTGTACTCACTGTGTGAACTGTCTCTTTAATAATGTGAGCTTTATGGTCATGTTGTTGCTGACTGGACTTACATTTTTTAAAAACTCACCTAACGAGAACACTGTTGCACCGTTTGAGCATGAACAAGCCCCAGCTTTGTGTACATCGACAACCTTTACCACTATAAAATAATGTACAGGGGTTTCATGTGTATGTATGGGAATGTATTCCCTCAGTCAGTGTACACTAAATGCACTGTTGCTCCTACCAGGCTGGATTAGACTCTGCTCTGATGTAGGAGCCAACTTTGTTCCTTTAATAACTTAATTCAGTCCCAGTTCATGCAGTGTGAACCAAACAAAAAATGGGTACTTCCACTATTAGTTCTAGGAACTGTGAAAAAGTTCCACTGGTGCAAATCCCCTATTGACTTGTAAAAGACAGAGTCAGTCGATAAGAAATTTTGTCTGATTTCTACACAAACAAGCAGTTTTGTAAAAGATATGCATAATGCCAGCCTATGATCTTAACTGGCTGCTTGTAAACAACTCTTGACCTGAGAAATACAGTAGTTGGGTTAAGTAGCAGACACTGTTCTGCACTGCAAAATCAAATGCACATTGAATGCACAAGGAGTAACATTGTTACTCTTCATATCTGTTTATAAGCCCTGAAAAGGCCTCTAGAGCTGAAATTAGATATGGTAATGAGCATATGGTTTCCAACATGTACCATGCCCCAATTACAATGAATACATTTTTTTTTTTTGCAGTGAGGGGGACCATTTTAAAATGATTTTCTATTGGCAGCATGCAGTTAGAGTGCTGTTTATGTGCCCCAGAATATGTCTCATACTCTTACTGTGCCTTCAGTTAAAAACAAAAATCAGCTCTATGTGAAAAAAGCACCCGACGTCATGTGCTCAAGCATCAAAACAGTTGATAGTGGTTGCCTTGCAACGTAAAAAGCGCAGCACACTGCTCTTCTCGAAAGTCAACAAAAAGGATTTATGGTGCATCCAGTGTGTTCAGAACTAAAAAGTCTGCTTGTTGTGATCGGCTCCTAAATGTTAGATCAATGACGACAGACTAGGCCATCTGACCAATCAGAGCAGGCTCTCAAAAAGGCTGCATTTAGAATAAGCAGATACTTAATTGAACCCTTTCGGACACTGTGTAAAAAGTGCTAATGCTGCAATGCATATTATGTGGTAACTAAATGAATGTAAACCATTGATAGGAGTAAAACAGAGTAACTGGGGCTTTTAAAGTTATTGAAAATGTACCTGGCTGTCCAGTTTGCTGCTCTGCATGGAGTCCTCAATGGTAAGTGAACATGGCAGCTCAGGAGAGAAGTCATCATCTTCCATACTAGCATCCAAATCATCTGACAGGAAGAAAAAATAGCTTAGGATGGGACACATTTGAACAAATCAACAAATCACACCAAAACATTTCCTTACCAACATCTATGAAGACATCTGACTCAGGATTTTCGGAGCGGACACTCAGCAGGGTGTTGGTGTCCTGTGGGAGGGTGTAGCAGTGGTCAGTCTGCACCACCTGGGCCTCGTAGCTCTCCGTCACACACTCTGAGTACAGCAGCGGCTCCTGGCCTGGACTGGGCACGGTGTCGGTCTCGCTGCCATCATGTGGACTCTGGCAGTGTGGTGGAGTGGTGTCCTCTGAGATCCCGCTGTCACTGCCGTGAGGAGACTGAGACATGCAGTTGACCATCACACCGTCATCTTCCTCACCCAGGAGACTGCTGAGAAAGTCCTCTGTGTCCATTCCACTCAGCATCTGCAATAAAGCATTTGTTTCTATAATCTATCCATCTGTATGCACTAACATTATTTCTATTCATTTTTATACAATGACAATAAAGTATAAAACTGTAATTATATATTTTTATGACATCTATCTACATGTACATACGCAATATTGCTATATTTATAATCAATTAGTTTTATTATTATTCATTCATTTATTCCTTTATTTTCTTTTCGGCTTAGTCCCTTTTATAATATGGGGTCGCCACAGCGGAAAGAACCGCCAACTTATCCAGCATATGTTTTACGCAGCGGATGCTCATCCAGCTGCAACCCATCACTGGGAAACATCCATACACATTCACACACACTCATAAACTACGTTCAATTTTAGCATAGCCAATTCACCTGTACCGCATGTCTTTGGACTTGTGGGGGAAACCGGAGCATCCGGAGAAAACCCACACCAACATGGGGAGAACATGCAAACTCCACACAGAAATGCCAACTAACCCAGCCAAGGCTTGAGCCAGCAACCTTTTTTCTGTAAGGCAAACATGCCCACTGCACCACCATGTCGCCTTTCTTACTATTATATAAAATTAATGCAATACAGATATTGCTTTTGTAATAATTATTAAGAAAATCTATAGGAATTATTTATCTAGTCCACCTTTAAATTACTATATGGACAACATTTTTACTTTTTATTGTTATTATTCTATAATTTAGTAAAGTAAATTAGGTTAAAAAGAAACATATTTTTGTTTATATTATTTTATAAATGATATTATTATTATTATGAGGCATTTATATAGCATACATATAGTGTATTAAAACTAAATGCCATCTGAAATTTTCCTCTAAAATGGAGGTTTTTATCAATCTCGGGTAAGTATGTTCAGTAATATCACTCTTATGGCATAGAATAAGTCCTGTTTCTGATCTTTAAAGTGAAATATCTCAACATAAACAAAGGAGGGTAAGAGAAATGTTCATTTTCCATGGAAATTTCGGACAGCAAGTTTTTGCATCTGAACTGAAACCACTGAAGGGGTGGTTTGTTTTTCTCAAAACGTGGAACTTTTATTTTTATTATTATTTTTTTACAGTTATTCGCCTCATTTTCTATTAGTTAAAATAGCTATACTGCATTTAAGTGACATTTTAAGCATCATTTATTACTGGATTAGCATGTCGGGTGGTCATAACCACACTTTTTGATCTACCAAAGCATTTGCTAAAGATTTAGAATAAAGGAATATGAAAAAAATATGTATTTATATGTGTCATTTTCATCAAATATCATTAAGAAAAAAGAGATCTGTTAAAGTTTTAAGGCTAAGTATTGTCATTTAATAACAAACTGGCCAGCACATTTAACTTTCCTCAGTCAGAAAGATGACTTCATCAGATTATTCTGTTTTAAAGCCTTCGTTGACGAGTTATTTTCACAATTTATGATGGCAGAGCAGTCAAAATAGTACAAATGCGCTCATGTAGGGACAAATTCAGGACCTTTGTCAGTGGGGAGTGGGTCCTTTCAAATCACCCGAACCCCCCTCCGGCTACGGGCTTGTTAAATCCATTCTATTCAGCAATTGCAACAATATGAGCATTTGCAAAACAATCATGCTATCTACTGTATCTTATAAACATGCCAATAAATAATATTTGTATGATAATACATTTAAATGACCAATTTGTTATTTACATTACACATGATAACAGAAGTATTTAGATCACTTGAAGAGCGAGTTAACGTTACGTACATCTTGCTCTGAAAAAAAATCATCCAGGAAATTATTCCCCTCTTTGAGGAACAGATCGCCGGATCCCGGTTCACCGTCCGGGAAGATCAGACCGAGCAGGTCTGCGTTTTCCATCTCCTCGCTTACCGACATCTGAAAGACATTTGCAGAAGTGGAGAAATTTCAGCAGATCCGCAGTGACGCTGCGCACTGACAGCTCGATCACCTCCAGACCCCGCCCACTCTTCACGTGACCAACATTTGGTGGAAACACAACAACACACAAACCAACAACTTTATATCAAAGCCGCAAACATGAAACGGGTATGCTGTGTGTGATAAATATGTAGTTTCAATTGTATCAAAAAAATACGAAAGCAGTAATAAATATCTTGAGTTAATTAATGATTGTATAGCCTAAAACAGATACTAATGCAACGACCATATGATTTGCAACTGATTTGGTTGTCCTTTATGCTCAATATAGCGACGCAAAATGGACATGTTTATTCAAAAAAATAACAACAGCAATAGTAGTAAACTACAGAATAATGGTTGTGGTAAATGTTAAATGATAAAGAGAATATAAGGTAATGCAGTTTCTGGTAAAGCATGTGACAGGTCTGGTATTTGACAGCTTTACTGTGACCGAATTGTAAGTGATAATGACATTTGCTAAGACGCAAAGTCGCCCTCACAGACGAATCTAAAAAGGTTTTAAATAAGCTCTTACCTCTGCTGATCTTGTACCGAAACAAGATACGTTGACATATACAACAAATAGGAAGTGCCTTCTCTCTTTGTCTTGAACGCCAGCAGTTCCTGATGAAATCACCCTCCAACAAGGCAAAAATTGCGTCATCACGTAAGGGTGCGTCTGTATCGGCACGTCTTCTGCGAGATTGATCCTGGGAGTTGTAGTGAAGTACAGTAAGTCACGCCTCGACTAAGCTATTTATGAAAGATTTGTGATGTTGAAATGTGATTCAAGATCAAATACTGAAGTACTGGTTAACTTAAAATTATTTGTTTAATTACATATGAGGTGTACATTTTAAAATATGCATCTGCTTGAGTATAAATGTGTATATTACAAAAAGTTTTTTTTTTATTTGTGCACACATATGCATATTGTGTAATTGTTTTATTCACAATTATAATTTTTAGAATGGTTTAATAATATAATATTGCAAATATATATATATATATATATATATATATATATATATATATATATATATATATATATATATATATATATATATAAAGCAAAACAAATTATTTAAACAAATCGCTTAACAAAATGTTTTTCAGTGTTCGTGGTCATATTTTGTTAATTATTCAAATTATCTTAATAAGTTTTATCTGTACAACATTAAAATGCATAAAACAAAAAATACAATAATAAAACATTTTCCAACAATTGATGTTTAAAAATTACATTATTTTTTTTATTTGAGAAGTCTTAATATAATATAAAATAATATAATATAATATAATATAAATTTTTTAAATAATATATTACAAACATGTTTAAACAGTGGACTATTGCATTTCTAAAATATTTTCTTATCCCTAAATGATACTTACACCAGACAAAAGGGAATTTTCAAAACAGTACAGTCCAAAGCACTTTATTACATTTATGAACAAAATGTGTGTCATCCAAGACATTAAGACAAATCTCTTGCTTCACTCTCTTACAGTCACTCTCTCCATTCATTCATATAGAAGACTAGTTTATTAGAGGCATCTCTGATCTCATTTTCAATTAAAAACAATAACAAAAGAGGTATATCAAATATATCTAGCTGAACTATAATTCCTGTGAGTTACACATATGTGCGAAGAAGGCTGTGCAAAACAAATGTGTTTATTGTTCAAACTTTTGATTATTTGCTCAAAATTTGCTCTCGCTGCAGGATGAAAAAAGTTATGAAAAAGCCTGGATGTATGTTTATCTTGTCAGGAGGATGGTTTGAGTGGACAAAAAAATCTCCAAGAATCATGGCTAAAAGATTGCATAAGATAGTTCATCATCCCAACCCCAACCCCCCATTATTTGAAACATTATTTCATTGAAAGTACTTATAAGTATTGATGTACTTGTCTTTCTCTGTCTCATTGCCACCCATTTCAGGAGGGCAGATTTGAATTTAGCAGCAAATCAATGATGTACTAAACACTCCAGGAACCAGCCTATGTGTGTCAAAAGGTTCTAATGCCGAGTTCAGACTGCATTATTTTATCCCCGATTTTAACTCGCTGACAGGTTTTGAGAAGGCCCTGACAAATGCCTGAAATCACAGGCAAATTGGTGGTCATTTATGTGAGTAACAATCACACAGAGTGAACAATTAAAAACGATGAGTCTAGCATGCTAAATATCTGGACATGTCTGTGATTCAAATCTTCAAATCATGCCATGTAAAATGTGTTCTAATTGAAAAGGACATCGGCGATTACCTACAGCCAATGAGAGAGCAGCGTCCACTAGTATAGGTATCTGCAGGCCAGCGGCAGGTTGGGAGAGAAGTTAAAAGTGCTTATTTTTGGTCTATTTGGACAGAAATGAAGGAAAAACTAGTGGAAGGAGCACCCATGTCTGTTTGATGTGTCATCTGAGAAATATTGTAACTGGGTCGAAAAAAAGAAAACAGCTATAGAGAAATTGCGAATTCTCTTCAAAGGTCAGCAAAATACGTACCTTTTCTATCCCACTGAAGACTTTTTTCTCATTATGTAATTAATAACATAAGGAACACTGTGTGACTTTACGTGTCATTTCTCACATGCATTTGGTTGTGAGACGTAGTTTGTGTATCAAGACACAGGGCCGGCGCATCCATAGAGGCGACCAAGGTCGTTAGCGACACCACTCCAACACCACCCCTACCCCCTGCTCCTCACTTTCGTCCTCAACACCCCAACCCCCCACCCTGCTCTTCACTTCACGAGCCGATCACTTCCTTTTTAACCTTTGGGTTTAGGGCGTCGTGATGGTCGTTTGCCTAAAGCAGGGGTGGGCAAACTTAGTCCTGGAGGGCCGGTGTCCTGGACAGTTTAGCTCCAACTCTAATCTAACACACGTGCTTATAGATTTCTAGTGATCTTGAAGACGCTGATCAGCATGTTCAGGTGTGTTTGATTAGTGTTGGAGCTAAACGGTGTAGCACACTGACCCTCCAGGACCAAGTTTTCCCAACCCTGGCCTAAAACATCGGTTCAGCTTGCTCCGGCCCTGCCAAGACAAAGCTTGTTGGTGATTCTCCGATTATAAAGTCATACAGTATGAAACCCCCTGTTGTCGATCCATCTTACAGTGTAAACACAGCAGCTGCAGAATGCTACCCCAGATAGTCATGCAGTGTGAAAACATCTGTGACACAACTACTTTGTAAGTCCTGCAGTCTGAACTCAGCATTATCTAAAGTAGTTCCCCTGTTTTATTTACAGGGATATCACAGGAAGTAGTCAGTTGCTGGAAGCTGCCTGCTCGTGCACTGTTGACTAAGTATAGCGTCGCCTATGGCATGCCTCCAAGTGCTTTTTTTTTTGTTTGAGAGAGAGAGAGACAAAAGTTAATCTCTGTAATTCTTACAAGTATTCAAAAAATTAAGATTTTGTGGATTCATGCAAGAATGGGAAAAGTGAGACGATATTTCCCCTTAAGCAAAAGATTAAAAGGTTAAACAATAACAGCATTTTTGCCCGGCCTCCTTTTCTCAGATTTACCACCATATTTGCCAATATTACTGTAGGCCACAATCTCCTGAGCGTCACAGAATGATGCAGAGTTTAGATGTATGTCTAAGGCTCCTGTAAGTCTTCAGACGCTCCTTCTTAGCGTCCGTCCCGTTCACTACATGAGTAACCACTGGCATGCTTTCCACCGCCTGCCGTTTATGTGCACGATGTAAGAGGATTCGGTAGACTCCAGTGATTGAGCTCCTGCAGTCTTTGCCCTGGTTGTTGCGAATGTGCTCCGCGGTGATTCCAAACATCTCCAGCGCGTTCCTCACCTCTATCTCGTGCTCTTCTAGTTCCCCCGGCCCGGACTCAACCAGATGGTGCGGGTCCAGTTTGAAGGGCTCCATGGCTTTGGGAAACTCCACTGGTTGAAGCCACTCACAGGCCATCATCTGCTCCACGCTGCAGCGGTCGGAAGGCTGGGGTTGTAAGATGCCCCGGATCAGTTTCTGACACGGTTCGGGCACCCAAGTAGGCACTGTGTACGTCCCATCCAGAATGCAGCGCTTAAGTTTGGCCACGGTTTCGGCGCGGAAGGGCATGGTGCCAGTGACCATGAAGAAGAGCATGACCCCCAGAGCCCAGATGTCCACACAGACGCCGATGTAGTGCTCGTCTCTAAAGAGCTCCGGAGCGGCGTAAGGCGGAGAACCGCAGAACGTGTTAAGGGTCTCATCACGACGGCTGACGGTGCTGAAGCCAAAGTCGCCCACTTTAACACAAGTGCTGCAGGTGTAGAAAACGTTCTCCGCTTTCAGGTCTCGGTGAATGATGTTATTGTCATGCTGTGAAAAGAGGAAGATCAACCTCAGATATTTTGGAGAGCAATGTTGATGATAATCAGATAGATGAACTAGAAAAATGGGATTTGAAATGTATATGGCGTGACCCACAGAGCCAGCATGGCGTGTAATCGTGCACTTATAGTTCTGTGTGCCTGAAGGTGGTGAGGTGTATCAGGATGATAATGCACCAATACACACAGCAAGACTGATGACAGTGGTTGGATATACATGAAAGTGAAGTTGAACATCTCCTATGGCCTGCACAATCTCCAGATCTAAATATGATCTGTACATTATAATTTTTTTTAATTATAATAATATTCACATAGACTTATTTATGACTCATCATAGCCAAATAAAATCTTACATAATATAATGTTATAATAATATAATATATTAAGTTCTCAGATGAAGTTTGAATTTTAAAATTATAATCATAATGTAGGTGTTTGTATGTTATTGTACCAGAGATGTGGGACTTGAGTCACATGACTTGATTTAAGTCAGACTTAAGTCACAAAATGTAGGACTTGAGACTTGCTTGACAAATATCCGAAAAAGACTCGACTTGACTTGGACTTGACATTCATGACTTGAGAGTTGAATTGCACTTGAGTTAAATTACTTAAAATAACTTGTTTTTGTTAAATAAATAAGTGTTTGTTGTATATTAAGCATTACATACAAAACCAAAAGTTATATATGTAAATATAAATTGCAAAATTAAAAAAAAAAAATAATAAAATTGATTGATTGACTTGAAAATGACTTGCTAGACCAAGCTACGGCTTGACTTGACTTGAGATAAGCAGTGGCTCGACTTGACTTGAGTCTGACAAAAATTGACTTGACTTGCTTGAGACTTGAAGGTTAAGACTAGAGACTTGCTTGTGACTTGCACATGTGTGACTTGCTCCCACCTCTGGATTGTACATATGAATTGCTTTGCATTTTAAAATAAAACAGCTTCTGACAAAAGGGGCATCATGTTACTGACTGTGAAACTATGTATCTTACAGCCAAATTGAAAAAGTAAAGTGCCATAAAATTACTTAAAATTGTAGTTCACAGAAAAAATAAGAAAAAAATCTTCAGTAGAACCTTACTGAAGATTTTTAACTGATCTTGACCTTTTTTCAGATGGTACGGAGAATGTTGACAATTATCTAGAGCAAGTTACCAAGTTGCACTATCACATATGTGTGACCGAAACACACATGATTCTTGACATGATTTGTTTACAAATGTTTCTGGGCCACAGGTATTCATTTTGTTTTGCATGTCTCTCTTTTTGACTTGACTCCATTTTATGAATCTCTAAGGATCACACTTTTAGCTAAAAATCTTCTGTAGTGTCCTGCTGAAGAAACAAATCACCTTCATGCTAGTATATATATTTTCAGATGAACTGTTGCTTTAAATGTAAGAGTTGGACTACAACAAGTCAAGAAGAGAAAACAATTCAATTGATTTGACTCTGTCAATGTGCATCTTACCATATGCTTCACGGCTGAGAGAACCTGAGAGAAGACAATCTTGCTGTCGATGTCGGAGAGCTTGCCCTCAGTGCTGATCTTGGTGTACAGCTCTCCACCGCCGGCGTATTCCATCACCAGATGTAGACGGGTCAGAGTCTCCACCACCTCATAGAGGCGGATGATGTTTGGATGGTGCAGCTTCTCCATGCTTGATATCTCACGGGACAGCAGCCTTTGTGTCTTCTGGTCCAGCTTCGTCTTGTCTAAGATCTTGATGGCAACTTTGTCTGCAGATGACAACACATTAAGTTTCAGGTACAGTTTCTCAGAAAACATCAAGTCTTTGGAGCTTAACATTCATTCATTCATTTTCAGCTTAGTTCTTTTATTAATCCGGGCTTGCCACAGCAGAATGAACCGCCAACTTATCAAGCCTATTTTTTACTCAGTGGATGCCCTTCTAGCAGCAACCCATCTCTGGGAAACATCCAATCACACTCATACACTATCGACAATTTAGCCTGGCCAATTCACCTGTACCACGTCTTTGGATTGTGAGGGAAACCGGAGCACCCGGAGGAAACCCACGCGAACACAGGGAGAGCATGCAAACTCCACACAGAAACGCCAACTGACCCAGCCGAGGCTCGAACCAGCGACCTTCTTTCTGTGAGGCGACAGCACTACCTACTGCGCCACCGCGTCACCCTTTTTAAATTATTAAAAAAATATAATTTACTCAACCTGGTGTTATTTTAATGTTCTATTATTGCATACGTATTATATACGCGCTAATAACATACAGTATTGATGCAACACCAAGTGTAAATAATGATTTCATTTTCAGTTTTGGCTGAACGATATAATTATATCAATGCTTTCTAATCAAATTTGTTTATGGGAACTGTTTAGTCAGCAAAGCTCCAATGTAATAAAGGAAAGACCTTTGAGCAGTTTTCTAACAGGTCAGATATGATATGTCATGCGATACGGAGAGTCATTCTACACCCTCTTCTGAAGATCTGCAGCAGCTCAACACAAAAGTCAGTAGAAAATGCTCTGCGTGTGTAATTCACACCACAGGCTCCTATCCTTTACACACACAGCAATCTTTGATGAGGCCCACAGCAATTCTAAAGGTCTGGACAGAAATGTGACTCCTCAAATTGATCCATTTGTGTCTGGATCAGACAACTTGTCTCAGCTTGACTTTGACAGAGAACATGCTTTCCACATGATCAATGAAGACCTCACTGTTTGGACACAGATACACAACAACACAATAACAAATACACTTGCCCATGTCAACAAACACTCAAGTCATTAAAAGCATTTCAACAATATATTTTTTACATTTATTTTAGGTAAAAATTAAATTTAACAGCCGGGAAGTAATATGTAATATGTTAAAAATATGTTGTAATATGTTAAAATGTAATATTTTTATTAACTGAATATTAATTTAAATTTATTACATAAACAATTATTCCCTGTTTGGGATCAAATATATGTTTTTTCACAGTTGTATACACCTTAAGTGATAAGTTAATATCCAAATAAATTAAAATATATATGTAATTTATAAATTACAAAATTATTATTTTTAAAGTAAATAATATCTTAAAATACAATATTTAAAATTAAAATCAGCATAGTCTAATAAAATTCTATATACATTACTGTTCAAAAAGTTTGAGGTGGAGTAAAAAGGGGGGTAAGTTAAAAAAAAATAATGAAAATAAAAAATTTGACTGTGCAACGTAGCACTGAATCAGTACTGTAAAATTACTTGTGAAGGGTCAGAAAATTCACCGTTTTCATCCCTGGAATAAATTTTATTTATTAAAATAGACATCAGTTGTTTTAGATTGTAATAATAATTTACTGTTTTATTGCATTTTGATCAAATAAATATGGCCTTGGTGAGCATAATATTTTTTCAAACGTTTAAATATTTTACCAACCCAAGCAGTGAATAGTGAATATTTCACTTGCATACTAGACATAATTATTTTAATCAGAAATATCAACATGTTAAGTAATGATGTGACAATTAAAATAAACAAATGCATAAAAAATAATTATTATAATATATAAAAATGTTAAAATAATGCAATATAATTAAATGACAAATAATAAAAATAATTTATGTAAAGTATATATAAAATAATACAGATGTTTGGAAATTAATATCTGAAGTTTATATTCTTAATGAACAATTTTCTAAAAGCCTGTCTTATACAAAAAAAGACTTTTGTGTTCCAGTGTTCCAGTCACTTTGCAATGTGTCAGTTGAAAAAAATAAAACCACTAAAAATACAAAAATTATACTTTTGTACAATTTAAAGATAATAGATTACACATAGCCTAATATATAAAAACAAAATGTCCACACAAGAACAGACTTACTTTAAATTTAAATTAAATTTAATGTGTCTGACTTTTGAGGTAGACAGAACAGCTCAATATGATGCCTGAACTTACAAACTAATAATTCATACCACATCTATTTAATGTATTTCACTAATTGTAATTTAATTATGAAAACCCTGTTTTGTAGCAAAGTCAGGTTTATCAACATACCCTTCTCAGAGAATCTGAGAATCTCAGTAGCGAAAGGCACCATAGTTGGGTAAACTTAGATCACAGTGAATAAGAAAGTACAACAAATAATTTATTTACATTACTATTTGCTGAAATAATGAAAAATAAAAATAAAAACTCAACGATGGAGCTATTAAGACTTTAAAAAAAAGGAAAAAAGACGTGTGAGAACAATGACTGTATTCAGAGGAGAGAATAACATCAAATTTCTCTCAGATTTATAGACACTACATTAGAAACACCTTGCATAAGCGGTAATTCGTTTTTTGTAAATTGACGCAAAGATGATATAATACATTCATAAATGCAAATAAATGTTCATTGTTTTTTTATCATAAGCACATAAGCAGAAATCATCATACTTCCACATTCAACAATAAACTGCTGGTCAAACTTCTGGGCTCAGTACACTTTTAAACAAAGACTGATTCAATAGGTTGTATGAGCATTCCATTTACAGTGTCAATAAGCTGGACATAGGTACAAAGACAAAATGCAGTGACTACACATTTTGTTGTTGATATTAAGTTAAGTGACATCTCTTTATCTTGTGACAAATTCTCAAAATTTTAGAGAAACAAGATTGTGACGATTGCTTTGACTAGAAAATCCACAGTTTAAAAACAAAAGCAAGAAGACACTTAGTTCAAGTTTAGTGTCTACGTAGATACTGCACTTTGCCTTTGGAGGGCAGTACTGAAGCTTACAGAGAAAAATCAAAGCATGTGTACAATTACCTTTGGTCAGTGCATGGATGCCCAGCTTGACATGAGAGAAGTTTCCGCAGCCAATCTCACCGCGTATCTTGTAGAAGCCGATGCGTCGGCCCACGGTGAGCTCTCGGACCATCTTCTCATCCTGACACATGTCCAGATTGAGCTTCTCCAGCGGCGTGAGGCGGCGCGCCTGAGTCCCCTCATCATCTGTGCAGATGTCAGAGCTGTCTTGACGGCTCCAGCGGGCATAACGCTGCGGGCCCACGGATGAGACCCCGACAGAGACCCCCACAGCCGGATACACGGCCGTCATCCTGCCACACGCCACTGGGGGGAAGTGCTCATGGCAGGAGACCTGGAACTACACCAACACCTGACACAAACAACAATTTACACACTCAAAACAATGGCATCTTTAAGGAGCACATAATATAATGATATCATGTATAATAAAGGTCATTTCAATATTATTCTACATTTTTGAAATTATTATATACAAAGCTACGTGATTAATCAATAAGGAGAAATATGACAGGCAAAAACTTGATTCATTTGAGTCTGTAGATTTCAATGAGAATACACAATTTTTTAAGGGTGTTTTCTCAAAAAGAGTTTTCATTAATCATAAATCTCCACTTTAGCACTACTTAAAACAAATTTCACAGTTTAACTTTATCTGTATTATCAAGGTTTTTACAAAAGGTTATTCATTCATTCATTTTCCTTTGGCTTTGTCCCTTTATTCATTAGGGGTCGCCACATGAATGAATCAACAACATATCCTGCATGTTTTACACAGTGGATGCCTGTCCAGCTGCAACCCAGTACTGGAAAATACCCATACACACTCACATTCACACACTATACAGCCAATTTAGCTTATTCAATTCACCTATAGCGCATGTCTTTGGACAGTGGGGTAAACCAGAGCACCCAGAGGAAAACCATGCGAATACGGGGAGAACTCGTAAACTCCACACAGAAATGCCTCGAACCTGTGACCTTTGCTAACCACTGAGCCACCGTATTGCCCATTTGCAGAATAGTGTTAATTATAAATAAAAAGCAATAAAAGAGAGTTATAAAATTCCTCTGATATGTTAAAAATGTTGAACAATAACCATTCTGAACATCACTTCATGTAATGTATTGATGTTTTATACATATATATTCAATGAGTATTTGATTAATTAATATTATTGTTTTATCTTTTATAATGTAATAAATACAATTATTAATAATCATTTTAATGTTTATTTTATATTACAACAACTTTTTTGTTATTTAAATGCTATACACACACACACACACACACACACACATATATATATATATATATATATATATATATATATATATATATATATATATATGTGTGTGTGTGTGTGTGTGTGTGTGTGTGTGTGTGTGTGTGTGTGTGCACAATATTATTATTATACAGTATACATATATATATACATATACCGCTGTATACCAGATTTCTATATGGGATGGGAATATATATACACAGCATTAATGGGTACACCCATTTTGAAACTGAATATTTTTATCTATTTCTCAGTGAATATAGGCAATGCATTTTGGTGCATTTAAACACACCAAACATATTTAGAAATTGAAAGATGATACAATTAAATTCAATCAAAATATTGCCAAAAAATGACAACTTACAAAAATTCTACTAAATTTTTCACATTTTTGCTTCTCTTGATTTTTCCTCTTTTTAAAATTTGTCTTTACTATTTTTCTATAACAAAGATTTGGCTGCACTAGTTTTTGGACTGTTATTAGAAGTTATTTTTTAGATAAGCTCCAGTTTTAGCTTCAGTACTAACTAATCTAATGTATATGCACAAATATAATATGAATTTAAAAGAGAGATTTGTGAGGGGTGTACTTATATACAAAATAAAATGAAATATTACAAATAATTAATCTCCAGGATATTGCAGTAAAATTATATATTTTAGAGTCTAAAATTACTTTTTAATACTGAAAAGATTTTATACAGAAGATTTAAGAAATTAAGAAATTAATATATATTAAAATAATTATATTAGAATATGATATAAATAATTAAATAATATTAAACAGTTTTTTACAATAAAATATAATACAATCAATTATTCAGTGAATTTCTTTACTAATAATGACCATATTTAAAAAAAAATCAAACAAAATAAATGTATAATAAAAATATAATTTCACACTACAAAAGCATTATCACACATACACACAGCTCTTCTTCCTCACCTTCACATGTTGTCCTGAACGTCTGTGCCGCGTCCCAAAATTAGCTCATTACGGCCCCATCTGAGCTCAAGGTTACACACATATCCAAAAATAAACGAGCAAACAATGAGTGTGGTCCAGATGCCCAGTGCTGTTCTTCCCTCAGTCCTGCATCTCCCCCAGTCTCATCACAAATGCCCCATTTAATTGCTGCATTGTGTCACCGATAAAAATAGCCCGAGGATCAGCATTGAGAGCGATGAAGGCTGTGATTGTTGCCTGGATGCTATAATAATAAGCCTCCTTGAGGCTGTCGGTGACCCTGGCTTCTTGTACGGGGCTTCCTCTCATTTAACATCTTCAGCTGGTTTGTCGGTCAGAAAGGAGGCAAACAGGGAGTCACTGCTTCTCTTTGGTTCATGTGTTGGGGTTTTCTCTGAGCTTCTGACTTGCTCTAGTCTTCTCTCTGGGATTAGCAGAGATCCTAATCCGAGTCTTTTTAGTGGATCCTAAATCTCCAATTTAAACTGGAGTGACTCAACTACAACTTTCCTGTTAACCTGGAGAGAGAGAGAGAATACATCAAGACCATGATAACAACAGTACACATACAGAGAGTAAATTATCTTATAGTAGTATTTGTACTTTTTAGCACACTTTTTAAAGAATTTTTTGTATTTTTTTTGCCCATTAACCCATTAAGCTTCAATCAAAATGAGCAGCCGATTCAAAATTTTGATTAGAATTTTTGATTTGATACAATAATGCCTGGCTCAAACCAAAAGCAAAATAAGTATTGACACATGTAGATACAGTAAATTCAAACACAAAAAGTTCAAATAATTCAACTTGAGCTGAAAAGTCACATGTGCTAAAAATATTTGGAGCTCCATGTTTGGTGTGAACCCAGCATGAAAGGCTATTCACACAGAATGGGTTTGGTCATGCGTTTTAAGTTTTGCTTGCCAACTACACATCTGAATATGTACTAGATACAATACAGTTTTTGTTCGGAATTGAAGCATAATAAAGTACTATAGAATTTTCTAATTGGCGAATGACATTATTTAGAGGAGTGTCTGTCATCTTTACAAAGCGCCTTCATGATTTCAGGAAACGTGGCTTTGGATGGCAGGGGACGGACTGTGTTTTCAAAGCTATCATGCTAACGGTTAGCATTATGGCAGATCATCTATTGCACCTTTAAAGGTATAAATAATCAAAACCTTTTTATGCTTTGTAATTTTATTAAATTAACAATGTTTGAAAGAAATATCCACATATTTAGGAAGAGTAAATATGTGTGTTTTATTTCAACAAAGTTATTAAATTGCAAAAATTATAAACGGTCAAAATGGCCGCCTCGGTAGTTCAAGTGTTAAGCTTTAATTAAGATGAGTGTACATAGTGGGTTTTTTTATTAAAGAAAAGAAGAAGAAACCATTACACAGATTTAGAATAGAATGTAAAGTGCTAGTGTTGGAGGATCCGGTGCATTTATGATGCATTTATTATTTTTTATATAAATTAAATAAAAGTCTTACTGCAAATTTGACTGGGGCTCAGTGTGTGCATTTGTGTTTGTTTGAGGATGCAATTAGGGTGAGCTTGCTGATGTAGTTCTTGTAACAACGTCCCAGAAGAGCCGAATATTAGAACACAGAGTGCCTCATTTCACTCTCTAGAGCCGCTGAGCACCAACAGCACATATAAAACAAACACCTCAAACCTTATACTCCACATTAAAACAAAACTCATGATGTATGAGGCAGTTATAAAATATCAGAGAAAGAAATACTTTTTTTTACAAAGATGCATTAAAAGTCAAATCAAAAGTGACTTTATGATGTTGCAATATGCATAAACTGAAATATTGAACAAGAGATAATGTTTACATAATAAATATTAAGCAACTTTTTTGTCAAGATAACAAGAATGACAAAATGGAAATGGAAAGCTGAACATTTTTCAAAAATAAATACAAACCTTCATTCATTTTCATGTCGACTTAGTTTATTAATCCGGGGTCGCCACAGCGGAATGAACCGCCAACTTATCCAGCAAGTTTTTACGCAGCGGATGCCCTTCCAGCCGCAACCCATCTCTGGGAAACATCCACACATTCACACACACACTCATACACTATGGACAATTTAGCCTACCCAATTCACCTGTACTGCATATCTTTGGACTGTGGGGGAAAGCAGAGCACCCGGAGGAAACCCACGCAAACGCAGGGAGAACATGCAAAATCCACATAGAAACGCCAACTGAGCTGAGGCTCGAACCAGCAACCTTCTTGCTGTGAGGCGACAGCACTACCTACTGCCCACTGCTTCGCCCTAAATACAAACCCTTTAAATAGTAAATTCAATTGATTTAATTCAATTGAGATATCACTTTTGCATCTAGGGCATACATTTATTATTCGTAAATATAATTACATAAAAGCAAGTTATTTTTTACATTTATAACTACAACCAATGGCCACTTTATTAGGCACACCTTACTAGTTCCGGCTTAGACCCCTTTTTGCCTTCAGAACTGCTTTATTTCTTTGTGGCATAGATTCAAAAAGGTACTGGAAAGATTGCCCAGAGAGTTTGGTCCATGTTGGCATGATAGCATCACACAGTTTCTGCAGATTTATCAGCTGCACATTTATGATGCAAATCTCCCATTCCACTTCATCCCAAAAGTGCTCTATTGGATTGAGTTCTGGTGACTGTGTAGGCCAACGGAGTACAGTGAACTCAATGTCATGTTCAAGAAACCAGTCTGAGATGATTCGCGCTTTATGACATGGTGCATTATCCTGCTGGAAGTAGCCATCAGAACATGAGTACACTGTGGTCTTCTGCATAGCTGTTGCTTTTCTATCGGCTCAAACCAGTCTGACCTCTGGCATCAAAAAGGCATTTGCGCACACAGAACAGCCGCTCACTGGATATTTTGTCTTTTTCGATCCTTTTTCTGTAAACCCAACAGATGGTTGTGCATGAAAATCCCAGTAGATCTGCAGTTTCTGAAATACTCAGACCAGCCAGTCTGGCACCAATAACCATGCCATGTTCAAAGTCACTTAGATCACCTTTCTTTCCCATTCTGATCCTCGGTTTGAATTGCAGCAGATCGTCTTGACCATGTCTACATGCCTAAATGCATTGAGATGCTGCCATGTGATTGGCTGATTAGAAATTTGTGCTTACGAGCAGTTGACAGGTATACCTAATAAAGTGTCCGGTGAGTATATTTTACAAAAGTAATGTATTAGTAAACAAATAAATGCAGTCTTCTTTCAAAAATACAAAATGCTGCACCTGTACAGACACCTCTATAGATGTGATTGTGTTTTTTCTGCAGATTATACTGGAACACAATCCAGTGGTGTATAACAAACCAAAACTGTATTCCTATGTTCTTGTATTTTTATGATCATCTGAAAGTCTGAATTAAAGCTATATTATCCAGATCAGCAAAAAGTGTATTAGAGCTAAGCTGTTGCTAAAGAAAGCTTATTTTGATATAAAAATGTGCCATAAATAATCAGTGATTTAAAAAAAAAACCTAATGAGAACCAAAAGCATGTCTTCAAGTCAAGTAGATTTAATTATTTTTCATTCACTCACTGAAAACAAGAGCTTAATTCCAGTGCCGTCAGTCATACATTTACATTTATTCAAGACTTAGACTTATCAAAAATAATTTGTAATATTTTAACAGTTTGAAATAACTATTTTCTGTCTTAAAATATATTTTAAAATGTAATTTATTTCTGTGATTTAAAATGATAATTTCCATTATTATTTCAAGTCAAGTGATTCTTTAGAATTCAATTTAGATGCTCATTTGCAGCTAGGGAGATATTTCTGATTAACAACACAATAATGCAACAAGAACAATAACTATAATGCATTCTATGACAAATAAAAATAACTTCTATCTTATATTAAAATATCAGTCATTCTGACGATTACTTAATTATTATGTAAACAGTAAACCTATCTACGTAATCAATGATGCATGTAAAGCATTCATTCATTTCTTTTATTTATATATTTCAGATTGCTCTACTTCACACCCTCTATGTAGCAAGAGTCGACACACAACATAGAGTGATGTTTCTTGTGAATACTCAAATCTTCAGGCTTCAAACACTTTTGAATGTGTATGTGTGTGTGTGTGTGTGTGTGTGTGTGTGTGTGTGTAGTTGCTGATTGCTAAAAGAGCTGCAAAGATTCACTTGCTGACAGAATTGTCTTTTAAAGTATAAAGCAAGCAGGAATCCTAAAACGATCCTTTCAAGTGCATGGATGTGCAATTGTCTGGATAATGATTCGCGCTTTTCCATCCCCTTTCTGACGTATACATAATTACACCAGCTTATGTATTATTTGTCTATTTAGTCAGTAAGTTCACCTCAAAATAAACAATTCTGTCATCGTTTACTTATCCTCAAATAGATTTCCTTTTGCTCTCTTTATGAAGAAATCTCTCAGATTAAATTAAAAACAGCTTCGTTTGTGTTCTCAAGATGAATAAAAGGCTTATGGGTTTGAAAGGATACGAGGATAAGTAAATGATGAGCAAATCTTTAAAGTGAACTAACACCAAGATTTCTAAGTAAACTCTGTCTTGTTAAATAACAAAAAGTTCATTGCTGCATTACCCTTCAAAGTGAAATTGAAAATAGCTCATGTTTTACAGCAAACACTGCTAATATAAACAAAGTATATTAAACTAAACTATAATTAAAACTAAACTAACAATATACATTTATAAACAATATAAACTAATATAAACTAAAAAAGATTGAAATATTAATGAGCAGTTCCTTTATTAAATCATTAACTGTAATCTAAACTACTAATAAACACCTCAGATACTCCCAAGAGGGGCTTTCCTTGCATATAATAAATAGCTGCAATATACTGTACATAAACATACCAACATGCTGTGTCGTAGTTTATGCAATGGCTTATCTCAGGAAAGAGAGAAAAAAGAATGGGTAATGGAAACACCATCAGTCTATATTGTTTTTTTTATCAACATTTATAAAACATTGCTAAAATGTTGTGCAATTATTTAAAGGAAAAGCTGGGGTTATGGACTTGTTGAAATCTAGATTTTCAGCTGCTTCGTCCTTTATTTAACCTTATGTCAAACATGTTTGGAATGTAATTTTTAAAGGTCAGTTATCCCATTTAAAGTGTATATTTTGCTATTTAAATCTTCTAAAATGCCATCTTCAGTATGTGTGACTCCTCTTAAGAATCTCCTCATTCAGCTGTTCTCTTCTACACTCCACCATTAGCTCTATGATCTCAGGGGCAGTATTTAGAAATGCAGTACTTACATCAGCTGTGTGACTCCCTTCATGCCCCGCAGGACAACAGCACTGACTAAGCGTTAAGCATCATCCACAGAGACCACTCCAGCTCTGATCTGCACATAAGATAAACACTCAACACATGGGACATCAGAGGCCCCTTGTTGAAGAAAAAAAAAATCACTGGCTGAGTTATTCTAGAAAATCCTTTTCTCTAAAATACAGGCATTTTCATTACAGAAAGTAATTATATTAATAAGACGCAATGATATATGAATTTCAGCCTGATGAATTCAAATACTAATATGATTTTTTTAGCCTAATAACACAAACAAGCTTATGTGATGTGAAAAATGACTTGTGCAATAAATATCATGTGTAAAATGTGCTTATCTTCTGTAGTTGACCTTGTTTCCTAGTGTGTGTTTCTTTTACAATGTTTATTTATTGTGCTGTGGCTCAGTAGTTAGCACTGTCGCCTCACAGCAAGAAGGTAGCTGGTTCGAGGTATTTCTTTGTGGAGTTTGAATGTTCTCACTGTGTTTGCGTTGGTTTCCACTGGGTGCACTGGTTTCCCCTACAATCCAAAGACATGTGCTATAGGTGAATTGAATAAACTAAATTGGTTGTAGTGTATGGGTGTTTCCCACCCATCCCCTATGTATAACATATGCTAGATAAGTAGGTGGTTCATTCTGCTGTGAAAAACCCCAGATGAAAAAGAGGGACTAAGCCAAAGGAAAATGAATGAATAACTTATTGTGTTCACCGGTTCCTTGTTTATTTTGTTTATTTTCTCATTTATTTGTGTGTATTGGAGATGCATATTTACTAATTGCAAGTCGTGATTACATTGTCAAACTTGTTCCGGTCACTTTTGCTGGAGCAAGATGGCAAATTTATTTATCCCCATTTTATATATTTATAATACATTTTATACAAAAAAATACAAATTTTTTTAACTACACACAAATATTTATTAATAAACAATTAGCATCTGTGTGTGTGTTCTTTTTTTCACTTGTTATTCAGTTTATGAAGGTTCCACAAACTACATTATCGACACAAAAATATCATATTTTGAAAATGCTAATTTTTGGGCTCAAGTCTTGTCCACTGCGATCAAAACATTTTTGACTGCAAATGTTTTATAACTGCAGCACTTAGCGTAAAACGGATGCTCAGCAACAGGCCATGCAAATAGTGTTCTAAAAAGGTCGAATTTAGTGGACACAAACCATTATTGTAAATGACATGTCCAAGAACGCAAAATGCTTTCTCACAGACCGCCTTCAACTCTGAAACTCTGTGCTTTGTTATAACTTTGTTGTTTTTTTTTAAATAAAAACAAATGACTTAAATTACTCTGTTTTACTCAATTAAGTGCTATGCATGTAAAATACAAATGTATGCATGTGATTTATCCAGTGTATTTTTATTTGTGGATTAAAGTCCTGATTTGTATGTGCTGGATTGCTACTATACACAAGAGAATCACAACATAACTTCCCAGCTATATTTAGTGAGATTAGGAACACATCTAACGGATTAAAAATACAAAATCAAACAAAAAGTGCTTAGGGGTTGCTCAAATAATGTTTCCACATTTTTCAAGTGCCTTGGGCAGATTTTTGCTGTTTACATCTACTTTACTGTCACATTTGAGGCAGCGAAATGTCCCAAACACCAATGCATTTCCTAACTTTTTTCTATAAAGTATATCATTTTTAAATAGTTGAGAAGCAAGTACCAAATTAAATGTAATACATACTCAGCATGCAATTTCTGTGTACACACTCATTGGTACAGCTACACAAAGCCCCCCTGTGTGTGTTTTGATTGAGACACATGGCTAGAGAGGGGGAAAAGAACTCAGTGGTGAAAAGATCAGGGACAATAGGGGGCCAGAGGTGCCAATCTGGAATTTCCATCACGTAGCCACCCAATTTCAAATAATTTACTGAGGAATGAAGTAGTTAAAACGAAAGCAATTGTAAGCAAACTTTCTTTAATGGAAAATAAAATGAAAAAAGAGTATGTTTTATTAAAATACTATATATCATACACTTTTAAGCAAGGAAAAGAAAGCATTAAATTAACAGGTTCTGCCTTGTTCTAAAATTAAACCACTAACTCTAAATAACTGCATTAAAATGCATGAAACTACAAGCATTGCACATGCTTCAGAACATGTTGATACATGTCTGAATATGTCCATTATAATGAGCCCTTAAAAAAGGAACATAATTAAGGAGTTCAATTGATGTTTGGACCTTTGAGGGGGAAAACATGCAGATTATGCGGCGAAACCACAAAAAAGGCTGTTTCCGTTGCATTGTGCTCTGGTAATATATTCCCAGCCCATCAAAGCACCTTTAATCTCATACCTAAAACCATGTTTCATGTCATCAAACTAAGGAGTCATCAAAGGAGACTGAACAAAAGTTGACATCAATCCCTGAGAAACTAGAAAGGATCATTTGGTATCATAAATTATAATATTCTCTGCAAATTAATACTTCTATTCAGTAGCCATTTGGGATCAGATCTATTCATTCAGGCCCAGAGATTCGCACACCTGTACTGTTCAAACACTGATGAGGGCTTTTATTATTTACACCTGAGAGACGCTGTAGACCCCCACAAATTCTCAACGCTATTAATCGCACATGGCACTTGATCAAAGGATTTTATATTTATTGTAAAGCTTCATTAATGTAACATTTAATTACATGAATAAGATAGGAAATAGTGAATTTTAAATATAATATTAATCAAATAAATAGTTATAATAATGTTAGGCAACTAGAGGTAAAATGTGTTATTAAAAACGTATTTTAAACACGTCCTAGAAGATTAAACGAATGCGTCTTAGATTTTGGTTCCTATTTAAAGTCAGTGCAATATTATAATAAAATATTTCTCATAATAACAGCTATTTTTTTAATAAGCCGACGCTATTATCTGCATTAAAGATTAATTATAATTTAAATTATAGCTTCCATAACGACTGCTGCTTGGTAATAAGGACAGGTACATCAACATCAGCATCTGTCGATTGATTTCTAAACAAATGGTATCTGGAAGCCTTGTTAACAATTTGTACCCATAAACGAATTCGTCATGTTTTTTTGGCAATCACTGAATATGATAAGAATAGATAAGAGTAGTTGTCCTTACCTTTTCTAAAAGCATCCCGGTTGAATGTATCGTGCGTGTCCGTTGAGAGATCATTCAGTGCTCGGTGTGTGTGTGTCATTGGCCTCACTGTGATGCGCGAGGACTCCAGGCACCATCACAGCAACAGGGAGGTTAAGTGACGGACAGCGCTATCAACCAATCACAGACTGGAGGTGGGACTAAACAGGTTCTTAAACCAATAAGATGATTTGGCCCTTTTAATGCTAGAAATACATTAAAGACGTATTTAAAGTTAACCAACTAACTGACTAAAGCTTTTTGTGTGCTTATATAAACCATTAGTATTCAAATGTAAATAATTATCCATTATTTGCTCATTTTAGAATAGAATTTGACTCCCTCCTAAAATCACTTCAACTTTTAAGAATAAAAAAACCTGAATTCCTGAAATATTATGCAGATGTATTTACAGAAAATTCTCTGGTTACTTCTTTAAGTGTCGTTGTAATTTTATTCATTTGTTTGTTTAATTTAGTATTGTTAGTATTATTAATTTATTATTATAATAAATATTATACTTCTATTATTTTTATTTTTTCCCTTTCTGTCTAATGGTATTATTTGTATCTGTATGTGTTTTTATATATTATTTATTACTATGTGTATTATTTACCTTTTTTAAATCTGTCTGTGATCCCTTGGACCTTGTTATGATGTTCTTGTATTGCCAGTTTAAGCAATAATAATAAAAAAATAATAAAAAATTGATACACAAATGTTTATTTCACCGCCTAGTATGTTTTAGAAATAAATCGAGCTTCAACACTGAAAACTGAACTGACACCGTTTCAATTTACTATAATCTTCTATGTGAAGCTGCTTTGACACAACTGTAAAAGCGCTATAGAAATAAAGATGAATTGAATATTTCCCCATCAGAAATATGAACACATGTGTTTTTGGGGGACTGTTGGTTAACAGGTTCTGTAATTAGAAAGTCATATAAAATTAATGTTAACCATACTTCACATTAACAGCACTAAAGCAACATTTGGTTGTTATATTTTCAGACACCCTGACTGCCCAACATAATATTCAAAGGTTCCCTAATTAAATCAAAGCAATGTACATGTTAGTTTTATGTCCTGTAGGCCAATATTAGATAATGTCCTGATTAGATTTATTTATACTTTATGTCAAAGTGTTCAAAATTTATAAAGACTTATACATTTCACAGCAATTTACAGAAGACACCCACTAAATCAAAGATGCCCAAACTAGGGCTCACCTTTGACTTAGCCTGCCATCCCATCTAAGAAGAGAGAGGGAATAATGGGGATGGTTTCAAGATTGTTAATTCAAATTTAATGTAACCCTTTGTTTGTAATATTGTTAAAAGCTAAATGAAAATAAATGGTTTAAATGAATCAGATTTTGTTTAATTGTACGAACAGTCAACCGACAGAGCAGAAACTTTAGTAAGAAAATCAAGGCAAAGGCAGATTCTACTTGCCTAGTGTATTCAGCACTCAACTCCAGTTATAGATGCAATTATTTTTATTGCAATATGTTATCGTAAAGAAACTATAATGCATTACTTTATATGATTTAAAGGAATGTTTTTTTATTTATTTTCTATTTTGAAATATTATGAAAATTTTGGAAATTACCCATGACAACTTTAATGTAATATAGTTTGGTATATTTACATTCAGCCCGCAGCTGTCAATAATATTTGGTTTTTAGCCCTTAATACGAAAACGTTTGGGCACCCCTGCACTAAACTGCATCTTGTTGATTTTTCTGATAAATAAATAAGCAAAAAAAAGTCACTAAAAGCAACAAAAATACCCAAATCATGAACAGGAAGAAATGTTGAAATATGTAAAAGAAATAAATTGTGCCAATTCATTAATTACAATTCATTTGTTATAATAGCGGTAAAATATAATACTTTGTTTACATTTTTTCTAATAGTTGCTATACATTCTTAATAACATTAAAATTGAGTGAATATAATTTTGTTTGCATCATCATGCTGCCCTTACTGATCCTTTCCTCCTGATCTACAGCTTCGCTTAAGATCAAGGTCAAAAAGACCAATCCCAAAGTTTAACCTAACGATAAAACATACCGTAGTACATTCAAGTTTCAAGAGATTGACTGCAGCTCCGGACAAGATGTTTGGTCAGAGGAGAAATTATTGTGAGCCTGGTTTCACTCAAGGTTTTTTTCCTTCATTTTCGTCAGTTGGTAAAGTTTGTTCCTTGCCACTGTTGCCACTGGCTTGCTTGATTTGGGACTTGTAGAGCTGCGCATCAATGTATTTCCTCTTCGGGGTTTGGACTTCCAGCAGTGAAATTTAAACCACACTGAACTGAACTAAACTGTACTTCAACTCTGAAAACTGGACTGACAGTTTCAGTTTACTTGAACTTCTATGTTCAGCTGCTTTAACACAATCTACATTGTAAAGGGGCTATAGAAATATACATGAATTGAACTGAAGCTTAAATTAAATGCTGTTACTGCAGTCATTCTCAGCATAATAAGAATTCACTTGCTGACATTTATATTTCTCTGAACGAGGAGAATGCTTAAAAACACAAGCCAGAAGAGTATACATGTTGGCTCTGGATAATTTGGGGGAACATGTTGCCCTTTAATTCTTTTATGAAAATAAGCTTCTTACACACACTATAAACATACATCCAAAGATAAAAAATAAAAAAAGACATTCTTTCCACCACAGTCTTGTCAACGTGCACTATTCCTGAAACAAACCTCCATCTATTCTTATCCACAACATACATTAAGAGCATGACTGAACTTGTGATCGTACTTATAGAGACACTGACACTGCTTTCGGAAAAAGCCAAGCTGAAAGAAAGAAATAGAGCAGGTGATCCATCTATGTTGGACAACTCCACAATGAGCTTTATTGTATCATTTTAAAAGGGTGGAAAAGGAGAAAAAGCCTCCTCAATTCATTCTTATAGCGTCCAAGTACAGCCTTTCATACATTCTCGGTCTTTTCACAGCTAGCAGGCTCTTGTTTGGCTTCTGCTGGTTCTGCAACAGTCTCCCGTTCGACTTGAATCCCCATCACCTGTTCTTTCAATTTTTCACTGTCTACCTGTAAAACCACTGTCTCTGCTACTCCACCCTCGGGTTGAGAGGGCTGTATCTGCGTCTCTTCCTCCACCACGAGAGTCTCCTCAACAGCTACAACGTCCACCGGTTCCACAGTGACGTGCTCCACCCGTATACCATCCTCCAGAATCACCCGCTCCTCGCCCTCCTCCATAGACAAGACATTAGCAGGGTCTGAAATCAAGATGTCCTCTGCCACGATTACCTTCTCCTGTAAGCTGTGGTGCTCCTGCAGGTGAGTGTGGAGGTCTCTGGGTGATGTGAACCACAGGTCGCAGAGGGTGCAGTGGTTGGGTTTCTCACCCGTGTGGGTCACCAAATGATCCTTGAACTGCTCCCAACTATTAAAAACACTGCTACAAACCTGAGGAGTAAAAAGATGGATTATTGAACAAAATAAAGCTGAAAACATGCAAAGGGAAAACAACCGTTCATAATTTAAGTTCAGCAAAGATTACTGGCACCTCACGATTTATTGAGAAGTCCAAATACACTCACTGGTCAGTTTATTAGGTACACCTTACTAGTACCGGATTAGACGGCCTTTGCCTTCAGAACTGCTTTATTACTTCTTGGCATAGATTAAACAAGATACTAGAATATTTCTCAGGGATTTTGGTCCATATTGGCATGACAGCATCAAGCAGTTGCTGCAGAAATTAAGACTCACCAGACCAGGCAACGTTTTTTCAATCATCTATTGTCCAATTTTGGTGACCCCGTACAAAATGTAGCCCAAGTTTCTTGTTCTTATATGACAGGACTGGCACCCAGCATGGTATTTCGCTGCTGTAGGCCATCCACCTCAAGGTTCAGCGTGTTGTGCACTCAGAGATGCTCTTCTGCACACCTCAGCGGTAATAAGCGATTATTTGAGTTACTGTTGCCTTTCTATCAGCTTGAAACAGTCTGGCCATTCTCTGACCTCTGGCCTCAACAGGGCATTTGTGCCCACAAAACTGCCACTCACTGGATATTTTCCCTTTTTCAAACCATTCTCAGTAAACCCTAGAGATGGTTGTGAGGGAAAATCCCTGTAGATCAGCAGTTTCTGAAATACTCAGACAAGCCAATCTGCCACCAACAACCATGCCACATGCAAGTAAGATATCAAATAACGAACGGGTGTGTTGTTATTTTGACCAAAACGATATTCATTTGGAGGTTGTTTAAGGAGTTTAAAAGAACACACAAAAGCAACCTTTTAATTCTTTTGAATGGAAAACTACCATTTGAACTACCCCTGGCATGTGGTAATGATGTAACAGCTGTGGATCTGAGGCTTCGCCTTCGTTTGACATTAGCCGCATTTCCCATAACGCGCCTAAATAGAGCGAGCCAAGGCCAGTCACGATTCCAGCGTCACTTACGGGGCCTAATCGGGTCTTTCTCGGGGCCAGCAGCCAGCCTTTTTTGGCCCACCGAAAACCTTGGGCCAAAGAGGGCCAGGTGGGGCACACACACACACACACACACACACACACACACACACACACACACACACACACACACACACACACACACACACACACACACACACACACACACACACAGACACAGACACACACACACACACACACACACACACACACACACACACACACACACACACACACGAGTATATGTGCCAAACATTTACAATATACAATACAATATACAATACATAAATCAAACCGTTTTAAAGCCATATTAAACTTTCATTTTACAAAGGCCTCTCTGAAAAAAGATTAGATATTTTCTAAAAAAAAAAAAACAACAAACACTGGAGAAGGTTTAAATATTATTTATAAAGTATTGGGATATGATGATATTAATCAAATCGTGCAAACAGAGCATTTTTTGGGTGAGTGAAAGCAGAAACTAGGCTACCTTTTTTTCTGTCCTGTGCACCGCCGCTTTACAAGGAAAACTGCAAATACAAAATTTGTTCTGTGTCCTCAAACAAGTGTTCATAATTATAAATAACGTGGTAAAATTTAAAAATAAAATTTACATGAAGAGATTTATTAGAGAAAAGCTGCTGAGCAAAACAAAATGTTTGACAGCGTCTATACATTTTCTGACGAGTTATGAACGGAGAATTTCTGTGGTGTTATATTATGTATGGTGCGCTCCCTGTGCTGGCAAGACCCTTTGATTTTCGATGCCAACAATGGGTTGGTGAGTAAATGAATATAATGAATAAAAACACACAGGCCCATGCGTATAGACAAATCATGTCCTGCTGTACAGTAACATGTCATTTGTTTTTTTCGATTGTCTTCATTTTAATGATTTCGTGATGATGCAATGGTGTGCTTTATCTGCCTGATTCTCTCTGAAGTGGGCGGGTTGTGTGAAGTTTGATTTAGGGGACGCTCTGGAGGCGGGGTTTGCGTGATGCGCTGCGAGCTACTAGCCCGACAGTGGAAACGTGACATGATTTCGGCCTCACTGCTCAACCTCCCGGGCGATTGACCCGTCCCTGCCCGATAAAAGCCATGGCTCGCACTGGCCCGACAGTGGAAACGCGGCTATTGTAATCTACATTCATTTGTTCTGTTTACTTCATCAAGGCCAGATTTCCGTGAGTAAAAAGATAAAGAAGAGTGAAGATGACTCTGAGGTCATCTTAATTACATAAGGACTTTTTTAAAAGCTGCTGTTTTCTCAAGACTGTAATTTGCATTTAATTTGTTATTAAGAGGTAAATCTGCATCATGTATAATTCTTAAGACACTGCTCTTGGTGTTTCCATGAACATTTACTGTTTGTTATCAAACTATTTCATAACAGTAACAAGAAGCTGTTTAATCATAACTTAATGTTAATACAGCAGTCATAACATTAATTTTCAATATGTGACTCGCTTTGTATTCTCAGAAACTAAAAATGTAAAACAGGAAATATGTTGGGACTATTGTTTTTGTTTACATCCCTCAAAATAGTCTACAAGTTTCCTTTTACAGCACTGATGTTGTAATGTAATTATAATACAGTCAGTTAAATCAACTTAACATCCAATTACTTGATTAAGCAAAAAACGAGCAAGCACTAGTGCCATCAGTAGCAGCAGGCTAGCGCAAAAACTCCATTGAAAATACTGGGGAAAAATATTTGCATATTTTAAAAGACACAGTAGGGAAAGTTTAATGTCGTGCTTCTTGTCCAGTCTGAGACCATTTTTATATCATATATCTATCAGGCAGTGAAGATAGCCGATTTTTTATTTTTTTTTAAATGTAACAAAAAGACTGGAAGTTCCATAGTTTACTAGAAGCACTTGGACTGGCTGATTGAAAAATTAAAAGTCCATGTGCATATACCCCATTGTTTGCAAAAAAAATGTAACTTTAAATAAACAAATAAAAAACTATTATTGTAATTGTATAGCTGTATTGTCAAATGTTTTTTTTTTTCTTAAATCCTCATTGTTTTACAAAACTAAAAAATAAAGGAGTATGTTTTGTATTGCCATTTAGTAATTATTACCATATAATACTGGTTGAAATTTTGGCCTTAAACTTTTTTTTTTAATTTAATAAGTTTTTCTTAATTACTCTTCTTAATTCTTAATTACTTAATTTCTTAATAGACTCAAGTACCACAATCTTCCATAAAATGCATTTTAACAAACAAAACAAAAAATGCAACACATAGCATTGAATTGAGAAAAAACAGCAGTCTTGAGTCTTGTTGTTTAAATAACGAAAAAAATATTTTAACTGTGTAATAGTGTAATATTTTCCATTCAAATAAGATAATAAATTGCAAGCATTTTCCATATTTAATGAATATTAGAGAACAAAAACTAACCTGGCATTCATAGAGCTTCTTTCGTCCTTTTTTGGCTCCAGAGCCATTTTGACATGCTGACATGTGGCACTTCAGCGTACTGTTTCTTGCAAAACGTTCATGGCACTCGGGACACTCAAAGGGTTTCTCACCTACAAAAACAAATTTATTTGGAGAAGTTATTTAAAAATGAATCTTGAATATGGAAATTTTCCTCAAAACATCTCACCCACACACCTGTGTGCTTCCTTAAATGCTCTTTGAAATGTCCAAAATGATCAAACTGCTTTTCACAGTACTCGCAAACATGCACTTTCTTTTTCTGCCGTCGGGACTGTTCCTCCGCATCAAAATGATAATTATTCAAGTGCTGTTTAAGGGCTCCTTCCCGGGCGTACGCTTTGCCACAGTGTCTGCAAACAAAGCCTCTTTCTGGGGAGGCGATATGAGTCTTCATGTGCTGTTTGAGGTGATAGTAGAGTTTGAAGCAGCGGTCACACTTATCGCACCGGAAAAGGTTGTCGAGCTGAGAGATCTGAACCTCCACCACTTCAATGTTCTCCAGTGTCTTGGAGGCCACCACTGCCTCCTCCTGCACAACTACAGTCTCATCAACCTTTTTTATGACGTGAAGTGTCTGCTCTCCCTGCTGGTACTTGCTAGTGATGTCAGCCAGCAAAGCCAAAGCAGAGTCATCTGAAGAGGGTACAGTGGTGCCCCGGGCCACGTCCACCACCTCCACCAGACCGCTTTCCTCAACCTCGATGTGCTCCTCGCCAACTTCCACCTCAATTTCAACAGCTTCTGTGTCCGCTGAAGGAAGAGATTCAGTGATTACATTGGAGGTCTCTGATATCTTCCTCTTCTTAGCCTTGCTCTTTCCGGGCTGGGGGGAGGTAGTACCATTCCTTCTAGATTGGAGGATGAAAAGTAATCGTTTACATTCTGAGATCAAATCAGAGAGAAGAAAATGTCTGAATAATATAGTCAGTGCAGTATGCGAGTAACCTGTTGTTTAAGGCTTTGATTGCCTCCTGCATTTGAAGGTATTCTGCAGCTCGCCAGACATCACTGACTTCCTCCTCACCATTCACAGCTAATGTAGCTGTATAAGTGAACTCCATTAGATGGCGAAAGGCAGAGTTGCTAACACCTGTTTGAGGTAATAAGACAAAGATTGTATCCAGTTGAACTGAGACAACATACAGTCAGTTAAATGTTCATTTTACGCATTTCATCAAATCAAATAAACAGCGACACTTTAGAATGTTTTTTGTTTTAGTTTATGTTTCAGTTGATAAAATTAGTTATTGTGATATATTTACATTTTAAAGCTTTAATTAAGATGCGTTTATGCTAATAAATCTACATTTGTACATTACATGCAGATGCTTGTTTACAAACTTGATTTCAGCAAGTAGAAATGTGAATTAAAGTTTATTTAACCCAAAAAACAAACATTAGCTATTTAAAATCTCTCTCGTTATCCATAGAAAGCAATGATCCTGAGACATTCCAAGTCCAAAAAAGGAACCAAAAGCAGTCAAGACATTACATGTGACTTTAGTGGTTATACTAAACTGTAATCAAATCAAGCTCCAAAAACAAAAACATGTGTGTACTAAAAAATCGTAAATAATACTTGTAAAGACTGAAAACCACCAATTTCTATAGTTAGGTCATCAGGGGGCGCATTTACTATGGGCAGTATGACATATTGCCATTAGGGTTGTAACAATATACCGGTATGACGGTTTACCACGATTTGAACGTGCACGATTATCATACCATGAACAATTGCATATCAACGGTTTTAACCCTTAAAGACCGAGACAGCCGCCCGCGGCTAAAAATAAGTATTGCTCTTAAATGTTTAATAACTTTTGATAACTTTTGACTTTTAATAACTCACATAACATTCGCGGACTTTCAGAGGCTCCGGAATCAGTGCGGTTACGTCATCAACATTTGATAACGCTGATTTGACAAAGAAACGCTCGTCACTGTGTCTCCGGACAAATCAGACATGATACATTGATGCATTATCCCTCCTCCATGCCCAGATTGGTTCAAACTCGCTATATCACAACCAATAAGCATAGGTTTCGCTTTTGTTTGTGGACCAAGCTTTTTGAACAACACGGAATGAGAGAAAGGCATACATTTATGCGCGGCTAAATAAAACGCAAAAAAAAAGTTTTGCATGAAATAATTCCCATACTAAGTACTTTTGCATGCACAGCAGCACAGAAACATGACAAAACAGTGACACAGCAAAGACGAACTGCTGCTCTTGCTGTTTTCAAAAGACGCAAATGAAGATGCAGCTGTTTGTCTGCATTGCAGACAACCATATCCAAATCCATATCGATAGACAACCATATCCATGCTGGCACATAAAACCTAAAATAGTAAATATTTATATCTATTTTTTAATGTTTATTTGGACTTTATTTGAACTTTGACACATTATTTATTATTTTCTTATTTTTATTTGTTCATTGTAAGTGGTGTTGTTTATAGTAACTAAAAATATGTTATTTGGAAAAAGTCAAATTTGCTTCACTGTTCTATTATTTTGTAACATTTGTAACATACCGTATACCGCGAAACCGCCAAACCGTGGTATTGTTTTAGACGATTATCATACCGTGAAAAATTCATACCGTTACAACCCTAATTGCCATTAGAGTCAGCAGTAGAACATGTAAGCATCGTGTTGCCCATAGTAAACACACACCCTGATCTGATGCAAAAGACATTGATGAACAAAGTAGTTTTCACATTTTGGGCACACAAAAGTGTTTTTGGAGCTTTGGATGATTACAAGTGAACCACTGAAAATACACAATGTTTTTGGTTCCTTTTCTGGACTTTTAACATCTCAGGACTATTGTGAGGATGAGAGAGCTCTCGGATATTTTTATCTAAAATATCTTAATTTTTGTGTTCTAAAGGTGAACTAAGGTCTCAAAAGTAAGTAACAATATGAAGTAATTAATAACAGAAATTTCACTAGAGTTACCCTCGATAACAATGTAATTATTCCTCTTCTACTCAGCTTAAAATGACCAAACCTAAGGGCTATTAGTAACTGGATTCAGACTAACCACTGCTAAACATAAGCCATTCAAGAGATTTTGCTATTAATATGAATATATCTACATACAGCAGGACTTAACAATAAGCGCTCTGACCAGTTGAAACAAACTCTAGGGTGAATCGATTGTACTGACAAATCAAAACTATCCAGCAAACTAATGAACGAGGCTATATCACAGTGTATTATTGTTGTGTAATAGCCAAATATACAGCTATATGAAGAGAGAATTATGAGTAGGGCAGGATGTCATTCCTACTGTCTAATGTGCGTTTCATGTCGAATGCGAAAATGAAAGCATGTTGAAATATTATTTAAATATTATTATTTACTGAGTGATATTAAAAATATTGTTGATTGATATTGAAATATAAAATATTACCATCTGATGATGTTTCCATATTTTATTCCTATAATATTTTGTATTTGGCCAATTGTTTTGTTCATTTCTGCACTGACACCTTGAAAGAAAACTGAACATTGATCTGCTTCATGATCTGACAGCAGTCTTGGTTTTCTGTTATTGCTCTCTATAATTTAAGCCTATAATGCATAATTTTATCCAACATTATTTTAATAGATTAATTAATTGAATAAACAGATTTTTTACAAAACTTTACAACTAATGTATTTATTTACAGAAAAGTTATGCTGACAAAAAGTGTGTGTATACAATTAAGTTTGGCTTTTGGCACGTTATTTAAAATATGTGGCTAAAAACAATTGGCAGGGCAAGTAAAAATTTGAACCACAGAAAAAATCCTTAGCATTGAACCCAGTACAGATATATTAACTTGTGCATATCCACTTGGAATATTTTTGCCTAAGTGTAATAACTATAACAATCTTATAAAGCCAAACCAATCAACCAAATCCTATGCAAAATGCATATATATATATATATATATATATATATATATATATATATATATATATATATTCCTCAGATGAATCAATAGGTGAAACAATTGATGAAAAAATAAAAAAATCTTACATTTTAATATACTTAAATAACTGGCAACATTGTGGCAAGGTAGGATGGTGTGCATATTTTTTAAATCACACCTTATCATGATGATTCTTAGCTGACATTTGTACCAAGAGTACATTTAAAAAAACAGACCCTTCTTTTGAGGTGTCTTGGTCCACATGTTTGGCATGCACCAATGTTCAGCTTTTACAATGATTCAAACAAACTTCACACCAAATTAAAAATGTACTTAATATTAACTTCCCCTCAAGTAGTTTCAAACCTTTATGAGTTTCTTTCTTCTGTTGAACAAAAAAGAAGAAAATTTGAAGAAAGCTGAAAACCTGTATTGGCTTACTTCCAAAATAGGAAAAACAAATACGATGGACGTCAATGGTTATCAGTTTCAAACATTTATCAAAGAATCTAATTTTGTTTTTAACAGGAGAAAGAAGTTTATAAATGTTTGAAACAAGTAATGTTAACAGAACTTTTAAACAAATGTCACTTTAACAGAGCAATCACACTAGAGGCTGTTTTAGTCATACCAAACCTGACAACACAGTGTCAACACCGCTCACACCTGCCATTATCCAGGAAAGGTAAAGAGGACATTAAGGAAATAATATAAATCCACATTTTGGCTACATGCATTTGTATACATCATAACATACCTTCAATCTCCACTAGAGGCTCTTGAGTGAAGTCCTGAAAGAATTTGTGGAAAAACTGACTGCAGGCAGCCAGAACAGCTTTGTGGGCTCTAAACTGATGGCCTGTTTTAAAAAAATAAAATACATAGGCACCACTGAATCTGCGTAACTCTTTAATAATTTGCCTAATTCAGAAAGCAACAGTTCTGCAGGCTTTATGAATGTAAACATAAGACATTTAAGAACAAGTAAAGGACATTTAATAAGTAAACCAAAGGGAACACAATACTTTTTATTATTTTCTAAATGAGAAATGTTAACAGTACATAATGAGTTGTAATGGCAACAGTTTTTTCTCAACATTTTTTGTTTTGTTTTCAATTTAAACAGTCTAAACAATTCTTGAAGCGGCATAAATTTACTTGAGAATAAAATTGACTTGGAGAAATCTTCAAAATTTAAAGGGCAAATTTCTTCTAATGCATATCTTCCAAACTTTTCAAGCCGAAGCATATATTTTATTACCCACTGATTTTTTTCTTATTATAATCATAAATCAATTTAATTGCTTTCTTAATTCTTGAATATTATTTGTCATCTAAAGTGAAAGCATCTTGATGTAAAAATATCTACAGTGTTTTGCAATATATACAACATTGAATAACATAGATTTCTATTTTAAATGAGGATAATGTGGTCTTTTACAATGTGGGTATTTGAATTAGGACTTTTTGAGGCCCCTTTAAGATCCACAAACACAGAAAAGGACATTGCATTAAAAGTCAGAGAGACTGAAAACCTTACCATCCACAATGAGAGTGATGTCAGTGAACTGATCCAGCTGACGTTGCTCATTCAGTTTGTCAAGCATCACTTTATAATGAGCTGGAAACTCATGCCCATAGTCAACATCTCCATCAACAGACATGGTTCAGCCCTTTCCCTGCGCATGCAAGTACTATAAAAACACAAGCACAATAAGAACACGCTGGAATAAGAAATATATCAAATCATAAAACTCATTAATTTAACATAAAGATATGGTTTATTGATGACAAAAAGCAATTGCTCAGCTATTCTAAACTGGCAGGCAGCTTCAATTTAATCAAACTGCAAGATGTCAGAGCATTTCAAAAGCCAAATTATTTATCAGTAATCTTCCAATGACGTCTATAGCACAGATCACAATTGAGATAAATTCAGCACATACTTTGTAATCGCCCCTATGCCAACATATCCACAGAGTAGCGGGCATATCTAAGTAACATGCCGAATTAGCGCGCATTTCTGCGGGGAGCCAGGCGGCCAACTTTACATCCAGCAGGTTAAACAGCCGCAAAAGCCAAGTACTTGCACGACCCAGAGAGAAATATAAAAACGGCAAAAGCAGCACCGTGCGCTGGCCAGCTTCATGTTATCCGCGCGCAAGGCCTGTGGCTGCTAACGCATTCGCCATTTGTTTTCGGGACCATTGTCGTTACGTCATCAAATCGCGCATTAAAATGCTCTTTTAATCAGACATATTCGTTTCAGCTAAATGATGAGTGTCGCCGGGCGGCTAACGCTCCGGAGGACTTACCCCGGGTGACGCTCGGATGTACAGTGCGGTTGTTTATTCGCGTTGGAGGCCTGAAGCGATCAATGTGCTGTTTTTCCTCCGCTCGTCGGAAAAGGGCGGTCGCTCATGCTCTGGCCTCGAGTTCCCATAAGCCCCTGCGGGAGAGGTTTTCTCGCGCGAGGCTCACAGACAGAAGACCCCGTAATATTTAGGTATTTAAGAGAAAGTAAAATTAAGAAAAGAAAAAGAAAAGGTAATTAAGAAAGTAATATTTCATTTGCAACGTGATTTAAATAATAAATCCTGATATTTATACATTTTTTAGCTCAATCTTATGCGTGTTTAACATTTAAAACATCTAAAGCATAATTAAAACATCTATACATTTCAAGTGTATTTGTATAGCGCTTTCCACAACAGTTATTTTAAAGAAACTTTACAAAATGTGCACATTATTGCATTAAGTCAAAATCCGAAAAGTAAGGTTATTACTATCTATCTATCTATCTATCTATCTATCTATCTATCTATCTATCTATCTATCTATCTATCTATCTATCTGTCTGTCTGTCTATCTATCTGTCTATCTGTTTATCTATCTGTCTATCTATCTGTCTCTGTCTTTCTGTCTATCTATCTATCTATCTATCTATCTATCTATCTATCTATCTATCTATCTATCTATCTATCTATCTATCTATCTATCTATCTATCTATCTTTCTGTCTGTCTGTCTGTCTGTCTGTCTGTCTGTCTGTCTGTCTATCTATGGGTAGCATTATATAAAAATGTGTACCTAAAAAAAAAAAAAATATTGCAAGTAATTTTACAAAACACTATTATAAGTAGGCCTATTACAATAATATTATATATATAAGCCTCATACAAAAATCTAAAATCTTGTATCACAATATAAGTCACCGCTTATCCTAATGATATATTTGAAAATATTTACTTTTGAATAGCTGCCACGTATAAAGGACTGTTTCTTCTTTTTACATTATGAAGCACCCACATGGTCAAGATGATCTGCAGTTTAAACCGAGCATCAGAATGGGGAAGAAAAGTAATTTAAGTGACTTTGAATGTGGCATGGTATAAAAAAGCAACAGTAACTCAAATAGCCACTCGTTACAACCAAGGTATGCAGAAGAGCATCACTGAACACACAACATGTCCAACTCTGAGGCGGATGGGCTACAGCAGCAGAAGACCACAGCGAGTGCCACTCCTGTCAGCTAAGAACAGGAAACTGAGGCTACAATTCGCACAGGCTCGCTAAAATTGGACAATAGAAGATTGGGAAAACGTTGCCTGGTTTGATGAGTCTTGATTTCTGCTGTAACGTTGGATGGTAGGCTCAGAATTTGGCATCAACAACATAAAAGTATGGATCCATCCTGCCTTGTATCAGTGGTTCAGGCAGGTGGTGGTAGTATAATGGTGTGGGGAATATTTTCTCGGCACACTTTGGGCCCATTAGTATTGCTTGGAGTATGGATGAAAATTATGCACAGATAAAGAAAATAACTAACATATATCATGGGTATATTTGAGAGCAAGTCAACAATCACTGAAAATAGCATACAGCACAATACTCAAACCAGTAACATGTAATGGCAGCTTAGAGTACAGTTTGCTATCAGCACCTCTGCTTAAGAAATGAGATGGAATAAAATATCAGTCTTTAAAAACAGGATGTGGAGCCTTCAGCACATAATCATTCTCAGTCTCAGGGCTGCAGGTGTAAATGCAGAGGAACTGATTAAGAGGAACGGATTAAACTGAGCATCTTCCGATTAAAGAACTGAAAAACACTTGGCAGAATGAGTAAACTGCACAAATAATAGTAGTTTTAGATGGATTGCTGATGTAAATGCCAAGAAAATAAGACAAACAACATCATACAAATAAGTCATTCTCACACAATGGATGAAAACAATGAAGAGATGTTACTAGTACTATGTTCCAACTCATTCTCTGCATTACATGATTTTAACAGTGATGATTAAACATCTTCAAGACAGAACTTTCTGTAAGAAATTTGTACTAAATGTATACTAAAATGAAAGAAAAACAAAATTCTATTAATACCTCCTCATGTACAGAAGTAGAGTTGGCAGAGAAGCTGACTTGCTGTCAAATATTGTTTACTTTACTAAGTCAGTTTAATGGTGAAAGGATTGAGCCTATAGAAATATTGATAAAAGTTGAAGCAACTGAATCTTGAGAAGCAAATCTGCAGCAACTGCGTGATGCTATCATGTCAATATGGACTTAAATGTCAGAGGAATATTTCCAGTGTTGAATCTATGCAATCTAGTTGAATCTAGTAAAGTGTACCTAATAAAGTGGAACACTTTTCAAAAATGAAATACAAGTCGAACATAATAAAAAAAAATTGCTAAATAAAAAAGCAATTTGTAAACATTGAAGACTGCAACTTTTTAACGATGCTGTTATTCGTGTTTCTGTCTGCATCCACATAATGGAGTAATTTGCACTCACATAAAATATGAAGAAGTATTACCATAAATAGTGTATTTTTCAACACCATGATATAGATGTTAATATAAAACATAATATGAAGGTTTATACACTCACTGGCCACTTATTTAGGTACACCTTTCTTCTACCTAGTTGGACCCCTTTTGTCTTCAGAACAGTTTTTTAAGTATATATTTCCTTATTTTTGCATGAATTAATCTTTTAAAATGCTGAATTGATATGTGTATATAATATTAGATGTTGATTGTGTGTGCTTCAGCAGTCTAGTTATGCAGCCTGCAGTCCAGTGATTGTGAAATCAGGAGACAGATTCATCCCCACACGCTTTGGTTTTTGATAAAAAAAAAATAAACATAACCTCATTTATTATCCATAACATGTCTTTTATTACAGTAATATAGCCTGTCATAAACATTATTAAATTGCATTAGATTATTATTAACATAAAATGCATATGATAAACAAAAATAGATTACAGACTGTCAAATTGCTTTATAATAATTAATATTTTATTAGGATCATTGTCATGACGCAGTCATTAGTATGTTATTGTGACCCATCTCTGGGAAACATCCAAACACACACACACACACACACACACACACACACACACACACACACTCATACACTAAGGACAATTTAGCCTACCCAATTTACCTGAATAGTATGTCTATGGACTGTGGGGGAAACCGGAGCACCCGGAGGAAACCCATGCGAACGCAGGGAGAACATGCAAGCTCCACACTGAAAGGCGGACTGAGCCGAGTGACCCAGCGACCTTCTTGCTGTGAGGCGACAGCACTACCTACTGCGCCACTGAGTCGCCCCGTAATTGTGATTACAAATATAAGATGTGGATATACGTTACTTAGTCAAACCCGCATGAATTCATTTTTAAATGGTGCAAAATGTTGCAGGACTCAGTTTATTAAAATTCAATAAAACATGAACATGGACTGTGTGAATAGATCACAGCAATGTTTCAGTAAAAAGCATAAGCACAACATTATATGGTCATACTTATGAGGGTTTATGGAACTATACAACAAAATAGAAGTCAGAAGATTTCATGTGCAATAATTTCTATCTCACACGTGCATTTGTCAGAGTTATGATTTAATGCGGATAAAGGGCTTTTTCACCAGCTATTCTTTAAACAGCCTAATCAAATCATATCATTTCAGTGATGAAAAATAGACCAAGATGGACTAAAAAGGTTATGTTTTTTCAGTGATTCTGCCTGTTAAGTTGATCATCAGTTCTCAGTAACACTGTGATCTCGAATCCGTTTCTATTATTAAGAAAAAATTGATGGTGCAGACCTGATTCTGATGTACTGTTGAAGTTTCAACCTTTCCACTCTTGAATCAATGTTAATTCAATAAAGCTCTGCTGTTGAATGAATTTGAATGTTTAGCATGAAATCCACATTGTTCTAAATCCTTAATTATTTTAAGATGTTTTTAATACTTTGGAGAGAAATTAAGGTTTATTTGTAATAACTACCTATTTGTTGGACCACTTTAACTTGTCAACCAGATGGATTTAATGCAGTGGTACTCCTATGACATTGTAAGTTATTACAGTGGGCTTCGAGACAAATAAAAACACAGTTCAGGTGTTGAGAAAGAGAACTTTATTCTGTTTAATTTGCTAACTCATCTGAAAACAACAAACCGGAAGAACGAAAATGGAGAAATGATTATGATACGCGGGCACATATAACTACAATAAACTATAGTTTAAAACCATAGATTAAAATAGAAGCCAAAGTGGGCCACGCTGCACCCACCCACCATAACCCTGGCAGCAGGTTCCACTATACCGGCTTCCCGTATTTCCCTGAGGGTCCTCACAGCCCGTATTGATCCCAGCCTAGGGTTCACAAGCTGCCTCACCCCAGGGAGTGCACGAGCTAACCGGGCGCCATTCCGTGCAGGATGCCCAGAATGTTGCTCAGAGGCACATTTCGAGCAACAAACACGTAATATTCCTCACGATGTTGCGTTTACGTACGCAAACCACGACGAACTACAGCACAGACGAGCCCGGGTGAAGCTTCACGAAGCGGACTTCGTTAAATTGGCATGGCTCCACTCGTACCGTTGGTATTGAACTCACCTTGGTCAAGTACAAACAGCAACACCTTGGCAACCTTGTCCAAGATATAGAGGTAAAGTTGGTTTCATATTTACACATTCGTTTATTTAGCAGTCTATATATTGTTTACCATGTTACTTTGAATATTCGATTGGAATTAGCATGCAAGTATGACTTGAAAACAACTTTAACACTGTTTATTTGACTGTGAACAATGTTGTACTTTGATAGTCCTTTGCCACTATTATGATTTCCCTATTTAGAGTTTGCAATAAATACTTTTCTGAAATGATATTATTAAGGGGAATGTCTTAATATCCGAATATAAAACCAACTTTACTTCTATGTCCAAGATGGCGTCCTAGCAACAGGTGAATGATGCGCTGTGCAAACTCAAATGGCATCCGCTGCTAGTGGTGTGTTTGGAAAGTTCTCTTATTATGTTCTAGTAACAAATATTATTTAAATACTTACTGGGCTGTTTTGTGTCCGTCACAAAAATCTGAGAAAAAAAAAGAACAGAAGCATCTCCATCTCTGTGAGAGGCAAATTCTGATAGCGTTAGCTATAACGCGAGTGAAATGCCTGAAGCGTCTTCTAGTTTAGAAATGGAAAAACTGCATATTCCAGGATAACGGACTTCGTGCCTATTACACAAAGTGTAGACTCTCACAAATATATCCTGAAATTGATGATGTAAAAGTGACAAGGCAGACTTTTCCAGATGTTCTGGGCTTGTTGTACACAAATATTTACAACTAAATGATGCTTTTAATTAGAAATAAAACCTAGTGTTAAAAAATCTTTGTGGAGTAGCAGAACACAAAATATCATGGACAAACAAGGTAAAAAATGTTATGTCTTTCGCTACTTAATTAGGGAGGAAAAGAATATCACTTGAGTGGAAATTGTCACATTAAATGTGATCAATAACTTTATTATTTGGTTTCATATTTATGTAGAAGACTACTTTAATTATGTCAGATAACTGATTTAGGTATTTATTTATTTGAAGTATTTTTATAATTGATATTGTCTTTTAGTTGTAAATGTATGCAATCTATAAAGTTGAATTTATTTTGTTTTATTTTTGTCTATTTCTGTTGCAATTGTATTTTAATTTGATTTGTTGTTTTTATTTTCTGTGGCAATAAGGGTCACACAAAATGTTTTGTTAAAGCTTAGGGGAAAAATCACAAATGTTTTAAAAACGTTTCACTATTTATTAGATTTTTATTTGAAATAAATATATACTTCATGTATTTTTTAAATTATTATCCAATTGTTTATACTATTATTGTTTTCTTAGAATTTTTGATCGTTTTATTTCTTTGATTGTTTTATTTGATCATGTCTTTATGTTTTAAAATTGTTTAAAATCAAAATTTTATTTATCATACAATCATATCATTCATTTCATTTCATGAATTGTTTGTTTTATTTAAAATGATTAATAATGTTTTTCTTTATTTTTGAATGTTTATTTTATGTTTTATTTTTATTGATAATGTTACATTTGATTATGGATTTATGTTTGAAAGATATAAACACACACATATAATCAAATATATTTATACTTTTTATTTCCCAAAGCATCTAATATTCTGCCTTGCTGACAGTCAAAGCTCTCTACTGCCCTCGTGAGGCAAAACCAAGATAGCAAAAACTATTCTTTGAAACCCTAAGCTGTATAAAAATAAACTAAAAGTAAACATGAGCAATTCCATGCAAATGTCAACCTTGCCATGAAAACTAATCAAGTTTTTTTATTGTCACATCTAAAACGCATGTTTGTTTTTCTCATTTAAAATTTAAAAAATGTTTACAGATTGATATTTTTCTGATCCCATAACTCTGGTTAGTTCTTTTGGAAAATATAAACAGATATGTCAATATAATGATAACGTATTCTTAGATGTGAATTTATGTTTTGAGTTTTTACTGCATATGTCACATCCATAATGCATATATATATATACACACACACACACACACACACACACACACACACACACACACACACACACACACACACACACACACACACACACACACACACACACACACATCAGCACCCGTACAGCCTCTTTACCCTTTGTGTATTACTCCGCCCAGGCGCCCACATACAGCCAGAAAGCTGACACTACAGATCTAAAGTTTAAAAGATACTTGCTCAGCTGTTTAACTGTCAGCTTATGATTTGAATCCTAGGTGGAAGAGAGTAGTTCCTCATTCAAAAGGGTTTTTAAGACTCTCCATGATTGATTTTGTTTTTATATACACAATTATGCCGTCAAACTGTTGTATAAATGCAATATCACACTCGTAGCAGTGCGATACGGCTGTAAATCGGCACTGGTGGGGGCACTCCTCCAACCAGTACCAATACACAGCCATATCGCACTGCTACTCGTGTGATATTGCTCATATATATATATATATATATATATATATATATATATATATATATGGTGACTTGATGACTTTTACTGACATTTTAGTAGTTTGAAATAGGGCAGCACGATATTGGAAAAATGTGATATTGCATTATTTTATTTTTCTGCGCTAAATATTGTGAATATGAATACAGTTTTACAAGATAGATTGAATAGCACTATTTTATGGTTTTCTAATGAGTCAAATAGTATTGAGTATGCTGAAATGATATAATGCGCAACCCTAGTTTGAAACTATATATTGGTTGTAAATTAGGGCACAAAACCAACTAATGAGCTGCCAGTACCTTTGCTGTTATTTTTGGGAATTTATATATAATATTTCTCATTCAATATATTGTTTCAGACTTTTCTAATGAGTCTAATAGTATTCAGCTGTAATGGAATAATACCAATGAGACAATTTGTTTTAATTCTAGTCCAAAAAATTGTTTCAAACTTCATGAAAATAAGAGTTTTTCCTCAAAACAAGCAAAATTATCTACCAGTGGGATAAGTAAAATTATATTTTGTTAATAAAATATAATACATTTTATGTAATTTGATTTAATATATTTAAAATAATGTTGTTGATAAATTGGACTAGAAACAATACAAAAAATTATATATTTTTTATTGTTGCATAAATCGTATAAATTTTATATATATACAGAAAATAAATACATTTCTGTAGCTCTTGGTCAAATATTGACCAGCAAACTAATTCAGCCTCAACATTGCATATCTTGCGATGTGATTATTGCTGAAGTGCACATTGCAATCAATGCTGAAACAATAGATTGAACAGCCATAGTTTGAAACTATAAATCGTCTGGTTGTAAAATAGGGCACGAAAACCAGCCAATGAGCTGACAGTACCTTTTCTGTTATTTTGAGGATTTATCGCTAATTTGTCATTCAATATATTGTTTCACACTTCTAAAAATTACAGTAAATGTCATTTTGTTAAAGTGTAGAGTTAACATTTCAAGAGAAACACCCTTGAATCACAAGCTACTGGCAAATAACAGATATTATTGTACTGTCTTCAAGGGGAAAAAAAACAACTAAACTCTAACAGATCAACAGAAATGGAACAGAATTGAATCTCCAATTGTTGCTGTATACTATATTAGTACTATATTAGTATGCACACATACATAAGCAACTGTTCTATATCTTATCATAATCTAATCAGCCTATCACATGGTGGCAACTCAATGCATTAGACGTGGTCAAGGCGTGATATGCTAAAGTTCAAACAGATCATCAAAATGAGGAAGAAAGGTATAAGTGACTTTGAATCTAGCATGTTTGTCAGTGTGAGAAGAGTTGGTATCTGATGCACACTGTTGACAGTCGTGTCAAATAACAACACCAAACGAAGCATGCAATGTACACAGGATTATTAAAAGGTTACTCTATTTAGCCTTGATTTCGTCAAGTCAAGTCGAGCTTTATTGTCATTCTGCTACATGTGGACCTACAGTGGAACGCAATATGGTGTCTTGTAGAAACAGACCTATATAAACAAACAATCACAAAAATGATTAAGAGCCATTTTAAACCTATAGCTAACATACCAGATCGATAATCTAACAACATACAGTATAGCCTGCAATAAACACTTAACTATACACATAACCTAAGACAGTACTATTACATAAGACAGAAAAATATTGTGCAAGAGGTATTTAAGGTTAAAAAAACAAGTAGTGCAACATGAATGTGTGGTACATTTACAAGTAAACATTGTTTTCCTTACTGAGTCCTTATAAGATGAAGTTTAAAGTATGAAGGTATTTTTGGTGCAAAACTCCCAAGCAGCTGTAAAAGTGTCATTTGTAGTTGTAAAAAATAGCCACACATGTGTATCAGTAAATTTGTACTCGCAGAGCAAATTTGCAAATGCGTATCAGTAAATTTGTACTCGCAGAGCAAATTTGCAAATGTGTAGGTATTTTTTGTCTCCAACAAACACAACGCAACATTTACACCTGCACAAATTCTTCAGTACAGGTGCACAAATCCCATCGGACGAATCACAAATGCAGAAACTCATCCGCTCATGTTCTTTGCTACTATTGTTGCAGTGAATATGGTGCAAAACACATTCACACACCTGCATCCAGAAATGTGAAGTCACAGACAAAACTTGCACATCTGTAGATTAGAATGTGTATCCGCACAAAGAGAGCTGAACGTGTGTAGAATGTTTGATTATTTTTTTTCTAAGCACGAACACAAATATGTTCCTGCAACTGCTCAAATCTGCCGCTACGAGTCTCAAGCGCTGTTTTTCACTTGCAAATCTACATTTCGCTCTCTCGCTCTTCTGCACCAAAAATCACTGTGACATTTGGTGCAAAAGTTACTTGTGTATCTGCCAACCAAAACGTGGGCTCTCAGAGAAATTCAGCCAATAGGGGATGGGGCGTGACGTCACCGTTCTAGCGCTGCGGAGGCTGAACGTCGAAACCGAAACCCCCTTTGCGAGATTCGCTGCATCTATACCTAATTTGCGTTCAAAAATGCCTGCTTAATTATTTCATAGTAGGAGCAAACATGCCTTAAGAAAAGGAGTAGGTTTGAAACTTTAGTAACCATAAAAAGTACGCCAGGTGGATGCCTTTCTACTCCAGGAAGCCGCAGCCTACGGCCTGAAGGAGGAAGAGGACGCGGTCAGTTTGAAATGTGAGTATTAAACCAAAGACAATTCTTTGTGTTAAACTCGTATTTGTTGAGCTACTGTACAGTGCACTGTAGAATTGCTGAGGGTGTAAAGAGGCTTTAAATTATAGTCTATTTCATTTCGCTGTAAATGTTGACTGTGTAATGTTACGGTCTCCAATCAGCACATATAAAGTAACGTTTCAAAGGTAAAAAAGATTATTATCAAATGTCTGACAGAAAAATGTGAAGTATTGCAGATCACAAGACTAAACAGACATCTGAGTGAGTGATGTATTTGTGCTGATGTAGAATCTGCTGTCAATTGACTGTTGCCAATACTGTTTAAATTAGATACATGTATTCTTACTAAAAGAGAATAAAGGGTCATTTGTTTAATCTGTGCATCAGTATATAGTTGATCACTTGAGTAAGGTTTGTGTTACATCAGCAACTACACCAACATGTTATTTGAGCATGTGAATCAGAGGTGATTTATTCTAGTCTTTATGTTACAGGGAGGCTTTTATTGAGTACAGTACAGAAACTACAAAAACATATTTTACATTTGCTATTTATTATTAGTTATTGTATTTTCAAACAGTGTTTACATTAGCTTTCTGATTACTGGTGTGTGTGTGCTTTTTCTGCAGAGCTGAATCGATGACATCCTGATAGCAGCAATACAATTAAGGTACGTTTTCATTGCTTCATTTTTTAAAACCACTTATAGTTGTACAGTTTGATGTTAGTTTAAATATAACTATGTTGGTGATCAGTATTCATACCTAGGATAACAATTCTTGTTTTACGAAAGGTAACTTGGCTTGCTTGCCCTAATGTCATGTTTGCTATTTAGTCTTATCACATAATATGATTAAACTATTTAATTCATAAGCTATATTTATTTTAGAAAAATGGCAGACCAGGGTGCATCCAATGCATTGAGGTGAAGTTGGTTTTATAGTTGCACATTCTGACTTTCTTCTTAATAATTTAATTTCAGAAAAAGATATTCAAATTCTATATAGGGAAATCATATTAGCAGCCAATGACTATCAAAATACAGCACTGTCCACAGTCAAATAAATATTAGTTCTAATGTTGTTTTGAAGTCATTCAGACCAAATATTTAAAGTACCATGGTAAACAATATAGGGACCATTAAAATGTTTAAATGCAAATATAAACCATCTTTACCTTAATAACTAACGCTACCATGTTTTATGATTCATTTTACACTCCAAAAAATGTATGTTTACTTAACATTTTTACCAAGAATGTATTGCTAGTAATGATAAATGTGGACAATTAACTAAGTAAATCTACTAGTAGTCACTAGACAATGCATCTTATTTTCTTACATTTCTGTTAAACAATGGAAATGCATACAATATTGAAAGTATTATCATTATTTATTGAAAACAAACAGAAACATAATTATATTATTAAAAGAATGAATATGAGTAATCATGACAAATAAATACAAGTCACCAACACATGAAACCAAGCTTTATTCTAACAGTGATGTATTACAGACAGAAGCCCATGTTTTGCTGTATCTCTACACAGCTGGGCCAGTTCTTCAGATGATCAGAGGGACTTCGCCATCATCACATCCCTCATTGCTGCAGTCAGACTGAAACAGGACGGTGATGCATGGCAGTCCATGCCCGAGATACGAATGATGAAGAGACCACAGCAACATCTGGTCCAGATGAGGACACAAGGGCATGTGGACTGATGCAGGGTCTCGTTCAGTTCACTACAGGAGAACAGGAGTGGCTAAACTCAGTCTAGAACTGCTGCTGTCTTGCAGAGTTTAGTTGAAGTTGACTCTAAACTCTGCAGGACACCAGCTGTCCAGAACTGAGTTTGGGCACCCCTGCATTACAGCATTTCCAAGATGCTGCTGCATGTGGACTTCTTTACCCTCACCACACACACCAATCTGCAGATATTTCAGATCAAACAAAACATAAAAAACATTCAAAAAACAATGTCATTTTACTGTACAATGTGTCATTTGATTTCTGTAGTGCTAGTAATAAAATTATCCTACCTCTTATTTTGGATTCTTTTTTCCTCAAATGTGTTAGTTCCCTTGTCTACAGGTCCAGCTCTATCACAACAGCTCTGCAGAAAAAGCACACACACAACATTAATCAGAAAGCTGATGTAATCACTGTTTGAAAATACAATAACTAATAATAATAATAAATAGCAAATGTAAAATATGTTTTTTTATTTTCTGTACTGTACTCAATAAAAGCCTCTCTGTAACATAGAGACTAGAATAAATCACCTCTGTCATCAGGCCCGGCTCCAGCTTGGAACTTTAGGGTGGGCAAATTAAAAAAATAAACAAATTATATATATATATATATATATATATATATATATATATATATATATATATATATATATATATATATATATAATAAAATAATTTATAGTATTCTCTGTCATTCTGATAAAGCAAACTAACTTTTATTTTAAAACTAGTATTTGTACTGCAGATTCTATTTATGTCACTGTTTGCTTGCTTACGTGATGTTTCCAAGTTTTGCAAGAAAACTCCAGAAAAACATGTTGCTCTCCATGAACGATATGGGTGATTCTGTAGTTGCAGGTACATTTAGTGACCAAAGCCATCCTTTTTTCAGCTTTTAAAAAAAATTGTTACATTACATTGTTACATTTTTGATTATTTATTTATAAAATGTGTTCATCATTTTCAAAGATCACATTACCAAAAATCACGATTTCTTGATTTACAAATTAGCCAGTACATATTTCCATCATGCAAAAATAATTTATTTTGCTTTTCTTTAAAGAAAAACTCACCAATATTTTAATTTTAAATGTTTAAACTGTGAACTGTCAATGCTATTATTATCACAATTACAAAAGGAAAACTGAATATTTCATTAATCACATATTTTACAAATAAAAAAATATTTTAAGCCTGATTTCATTAGTATCATGTGATCTTTGCAGTTATAGCAAGTAAAAGGTTTTGCTAAAAAGTTGTAAAACTAAATTACTGTCAATTCAGTTTAAATTTAGTAACTACACATTACGATTTTTCTTGCTATGATTTATTATTATTTCTAAACATTACTAAAGTCATCCATGACAGAGTTGACAAACAATATAAAACTTTTTATTCCCTAAAACATTTAATCATTTGTACAGCAAAAGCTGAATTATAAAAATTAAATATGTTTTAACTTTAGTGTTGGAATTTACAACCTTAAGATGATACCTTTAAAGAACTTCAACATTCCATACTATTTTCTATAATTTGTCATTTAAAAAAAATCTTAATGTTGTTATTATTATTTAATGCACCAGAGCCAATATAGACATTAATATTTTTTTATAACTAACAAACAAATTTTTGAATAGCAGATTTTCTTTGCATATTAGCCTACTTATTAGTGATAGCTAATACAGTATCATTTATAGCCTATCAAAAAAAATCTAATTTATTTCGCATATAACATGTTTTAATAAACACACACATGGCGTTTCATGTGCTTTATCATGGCGCTCTGTGTGCGTCGACCTGCTCCCTGAAACATCTTGAATTATCAAGATTTATTCTATTCATTATTGAATTCTGAATTTTTAATATTGTATTGCACTATTGTTGAGCACAGCAGTGAACAGTAACAGTTTAAGATATCTTGTGTATGATTTTGACGTTTTTCCCTTATCAGTTAAAAAGTCCAATAACAGAGAGATCACATATGATAATTTGAGAGATTTAAAGGGGAAAAAAGACAACACGTCAATCGATAGCACGTTACACGGCTTTCGTATCTAATAAATCGAGTCAGTGATATTGAAATGAGTTCAGTTACTAACATCTCCAAATTTACAGATGAGGTACACACAGCAGCGCGCGTCAAGAGAAGAGCGCGCATTTAGAGAGAGCAAAGCGAAAGCAAGATTATGTGTGGATATGTGTCTATATAAAATATTGATGTTTTTGACACAAACTGCAACAAAGTGCTTTGCACTGGTGTTTGAATTGTGTATGTTGCACTTTGCACGAACTTTACTACTGAAACTGCCTGTGATCTGTCCGTTTCTGTGCGTCATTAACAGACTAATTAATATTTGCTCTTTCCGTGAGAAAAATGCTATAATGTTTAAGCGGGCCCAATACATCTACTGATTATCTCACAGTGCTGTTTAACTGTTTGTGTTCTTTAAGACTTTCTATTGTATGAAATACGACTGCATGAACTGATATTAAAGGGAGGTGCATTTGGTAATGCGCGTTCAGACGCGTGATGCGCACAGAAATCTGCGCTCTATGCTGAATTACTTTCTCTTTCATCTTTTGCAGCCTGAATTGATTAAAATTATTAAAACTAATATTTTTTATATTTAAATCTAATATTTAATTTAATATTTAATTAATATTTATCTAATATTTAATCAAGATTGTAAATGAGTCTGGCTTGCCAAAACGTGTTTTTTTGAAGCTCACGCGGTCACAAATCCTCAAGTGATCAACTATATACTGATGCACAGATTAAACAAATGACCCTTTATTCTCTTTTAGTAAGAATACATGTATCTAATTTAAACAGTATTGGCAACAGTCAATTGACAGCAGATTCTACATCAGCACAAATACATCACTCACTCAGATGTCTGTTTAGTCTTGTGATCTGCAATACTTCACATTTTTCTGTCAGACATTTGATAATAATCTTTTTTACCTTTGAAACGTTACTTTATATGTGCTGATTGGAGACCGTAACATTACACAGTCAACATTTACAGCGAAATGAAATAGACTATAATTTAAAGCCTCTTTACACCCTCAGCAATTCTACAGTGCACTGTACAGTAGCTCAACAAATACGAGTTTAACACAAAGAATTGTCTTTGGTTTAATACTCACATTTCAAACTGACCGCGTCCTCTTCCTCCTTCAGGCCGTAGGCTGCGGCTTCCTGGAGTAGAAAGGCATCCACCTGGCGTACTTTTTATGGTTACTAAAGTTTCAAACCTACTCCTTTTCTTAAGGCATGTTTGCTCCTACTATGAAATAATTAAGCAGGCATTTTTGAACGCAAATTAGGTATAGATGCAGCGAATCTCGCAAAGGGGGTTTCGGTTTCGACGTTCAGCCTCCGCAGCGCTAGAACGGTGACGTCACGCCCCATCCCCTATTGGCTGAATTTCTCTGAGAGCCCACGTTTTGGTTGGCAGATACACAAGTAACTTTTGCACCAAATGTCACAGTGATTTTTGGTGCAGAAGAGCGAGAGAGCGAAATGTAGATTTGCAAGTGAAAAACAGCGCTTGAGACTCGTAGCGGCAGATTTGAGCAGTTGCAGGAACATATTTGTGTTCGTGCTTAGAAAAAAAATAATCAAACATTCTACACACGTTCAGCTCTCTTTGTGCGGATACACATTCTAATCTACAGATGTGCAAGTTTTGTCTGTGACTTCACATTTCTGGATGCAGGTGTGTGAATGTGTTTTGCACCATATTCACTGCAACAATAGTAGCAAAGAACATGAGCGGATGAGTTTCTGCATTTGTGATTCGTCCGATGGGATTTGTGCACCTGTACTGAAGAATTTGTGCAGGTGTAAATGTTGCGTTGTGTTTGTTGGAGACAAAAAATACCTACACATTTGCAAATTTGCTCTGCGAGTACAAATTTACTGATACGCATTTGCAAATTTGCTCTGCGAGTACAAATTTACTGATACACATGTGTGGCTATTTTTTACAACTACAAATGACACTTTTACAGCTGCTTGGGAGTTTTGCACCAAAAATACCTTCATATTAAAGGTTCAAGACACCCTGGAGTATTTATTTTTGAGATTTTAACAGTTTTGTGTGTGTTGAGCATCAGTTAAGACAACGTTAGCTACTGTCAGCTTTTATTGTGGGGAAAACTGGATAATTTGAGCTTTTGTCAGCTAATTTCATCTTTCGGGTTTTAAATAATTTTTGGGACGGGATCAAAATCGACAAGTGGAGTGATGACGTGTCGGTTTCTCATGATTATTCATAGCGGAGTTTTCTTATGAGAAGACCCTGCTTCTTAAATATTCATGAGAGCAGATGCTTTCTGAAGGCAGGGCAGAGCTGCCAAACTGTAAGACTCAGTGACTGGGTGAGACCGCGCTCACCAGGGTTTGTTACATGTTTTTTCCTGAGATGCTGTCAGGGGCCGATACAGCAAAGCTGTTGGTTTGTAGCAAGTATTTTTGTTGAGAGAGCTGTACGAGAATTGGAGAATGGTGGACTTTGTGTTTTATCAGTTGAGTTCATTACCATTCAGACACATCGCCTATATCCATGTTGCCATGTTTGCCTATCATTAAAATCATACAGATTGCCGGCAGGGCTAATGGTTGAAATAGACAGGGAAAGAGACCTGCTGCACTGCTATCCGCAGTCTGTCTGCATTCAGACGAGGGGATTCAGGAGGACAGAAGTCCACCTCATTAATAGTGTTTGTATAAACTCGATCAACTTTATAATGATATTACAAATTGTGTTTATGTGTATATGAAATTACAAATAGCATATGTAGCAGGGCATTACAATAGGTCAGAGGTCATGGAGACCACGAGTGGAACTGAAGATCTTGATGATTCTAAAGTCTAAAGTGATTTTGATATTATTATGTTTTCATTCTGTTTAAAGTGATTTTCCTTTTTATTCAAGATAGACTTTTTGTATAGCAGCCTGAATGCTGTTTATAAGTTTGATAAGATAGCTGAAAGTACGAAGAAACAACCTTGGGTTTTATTAACAGATTGTCTCTTGCGTGTATATTCATCTGATGGCTTCTGCTGATGAAACTGCAAACTATCTTAAGTAAACTTTATTTTTTTGAATCTCTGACTCCAGTTCTTCATCTGACAGACAGGTCATGGTTCATGGTCCTTTAAGTAAAGTGTCCGGTGCATAAGTGATTCTACAGGTGGTTTGTCAAACCCACTCACCTGTGAAGCACACTCAGAAATGCACAATGCTTTTCAAGAAATATGCAGTGATTGTAAGAAAGTGTCTGGGGTAAATGTGCAAACTGTTGAAAGTGTCAGTTAAAATGTCAAAGAGATGATAGAGAGTGTTTTCTACAGGTGGTTTGTCAAGCCCCCTCACCAGTATGCGGCACACTGGGAATGGCAATATGTTTTGAGGTTTTTGTGTGGTGTTGTGGAGATTTTGGGAGCTAATATTGTGGAGAATATTTCAGAAGATGTTAATGTGATTGGAGTTGAGGGCTCTAACAGCTTGTGGAAAGAAACTAAGGAGTAGTGTGACATTCGTATGGTAGGGTTAGATTTTGGTGCATTTAACATGAAACCATGGTTCCATTCTGTCCTCTAATAACATTTTAGAGAGGGGGTGGTGGAATGAGTGTGAAAGATATTTTCTTGACACACTTTGGACGCCAAACATTTTAGCATTGAGGCACTGTTGAGTATTGAGTATTGTTGTTGATCATGTCCATCCCTTTATGACCAATAAGGTTGGATGGTGCATAATTCTAGTAGGATAATAATAATGCCACACATATCAAATCATCTCAGTCTGGGTTTTGAAGATGAGAGAGTTCATAAACTCAAATGACCTCTATAGTCACCAGATCTTTCATCAGACATCTAAGATGTGCTAAACCTGGAGATTCCAACTATGGATGTGCCGTCGTTAAATCTGCAGCAACCTGTATGTGATGTTGACGTGTCAATATATACCAAATCTCTGAGGAACATTTAAGCACCTTCTTGAATTCACACCAAATCAGCTGTACTAGCAAGGTGTACTTAATAAAGTGGCTGGTGAGCCTAGTATATTGTTTTTAAGGACATGAAGTTTTAGGGTTTATTTTATTTTATTGAGTGATTTCATAATACTTTAGAGTTAACCATTAGCTTGCAGTAATCAGTAATGCGTGTTAACTGTATCTAAAGTACATCTCTAGGAGGTCAAAACGTCCTCCAGGTCATGAGACTTGATTATGTAAATTAACTAATTGATAAATCAGAAACAACTCAGGTACAAGGACACAGACAATGTGATGTTTTTTGAATGTTTATGTAAGTTTTTAACACTGTGTCCAAGGCCAATATATTTTATCTATCATTGTTCCATCTTACAGTAATGTAAAAACAGGGTGTTTATGAAAGTTCAGCAGAGACAGGAAGCTTCAAAGTTTGATCTCAGCAGGAAAAAAGTGCTGACTCTGAAACAGCTGTGCACTGCTGCACAAACAAAAAATAAAGGATGTTAAGAGGAGCATGCAAATACATGCACAGTAATCAATGATTAGTTAAGAGTTAATGCTTTAATAAACACGTACACAGTGCTTTCATACTTAATTGCTTGTCATTTCTTTTCAATGTTGCACTCAACCCCCCCTTTTCAGTTCTCTAGGGAAACAGAAGTTTGGAATGCAGTGAGATTTAACAGTTTGCTGCCTGGAGACTTTTTGGTAAAAACAAAACTATTTTGCTGCTAATTATTACTTTTCCATACATAAGACACAGATAAATAAATTAAAAATGTAGAAAATTTAATTTAGGTTAAATAAAATCCAAACAGACTTTGGCAGGGATACATAACTAATCCACTAATCCACTTAAACTTTCTGCTTTTTTTCAGCTCAAAGCTTTAACTTTTTCCATTTAAAACACATACGGAGGTTACTGATATACTGCTGATGCGTGTAACTTCTGTGGCGAGTACGTGAGATATTAAAGTTTTCGAAACAAGGACAGAGGGACCTTTGCCCCGCTTTTAGTCAGGAAAAACAAGAGGAGTATAAATAGGAGGAGCCGTGTGAGAGGAGGGTTGTTTTTGTCAAGAACTAGCTCAGAAAGTTTCGCTGCTGAAGACCCTCAAGGAAAACAAGTAAGTGTACTTTACAGCTACGACACATTGGTAAAACATTAGGAAAACACATTAATTAATATAGCATATTACTAGTATATTTGCTGATTGTTTTAAATAATGCTCTTATTAATACCCTCTTTTTGCATGATCATAGATCCCTTAATTACTACAACAACTATTTACTTAATGCCATTGCAGTAATGAAGTAGTATGTTTTTACTGCAGAACATTTAGTTATTAGTACATTTTTGCTCCCAATCTAAAGTTTTTCATTTTTCTTGTCAGCTTTTAAAAAAAATTTTTTTTTATAGTTTTATGTTCAGATGCTGTTGTGTGGGTGTGCATTATCTATAATATAATTTAATATTGTTTGGTAATTACGTAGGTTTGAATGCATTATCTGTGCACCAGTCTGGCTTTGATAACTCATGTTGCAAATTTATATTACCTGGGTGGACTATGGATCTTGACCCAATCTGGCTTTTTACGATTTTGATAAGTAAATTTGGGTTAATTACCATAATTACAGGTATTTATGTACATGAATTTTATATGGCCAATATAGAATGGATACGATTAGATAAACAAACGATTAGAGCGCACTGCTGCATATCTTTTTTTATCATTATGTAAGTTATTATTAATTTTCTTTTCGGCTTAGTCTCTTTATTAATTCGGGGTTGCCACAGTGGAATGAACCGCCAACTTATCCAGCATATTTTTTACGCAGCGGATGCCCTTCCAGCTGCAACCTATTACTGGAAAAATAAGTTATTATATATCTGAAATACAAATGTTATTAAAATAAAAAAATAAATATTGTGTGTGAAAATGTTATTCTTTTTGAAATATTTTTTAAGTGCTGTTTAACAAAGAGAAAATTATTTCAAACCATATTTAAGCATAATAGTTGAACTTCTAATAACTAATTTCATTTGTCTTTGTCATAAAGACAGTATATACTATTTAACTAGTTGTACTATAAGATACCAGTATTCAGCTTAAAGTGCAATTTAAAGGCTTAATGTTATTAGGTTACTCGGTACAATACATTAATTAGGCATCGCAAGTTACTAAACAACAGTTTTTTTTTCTGAAAAAAAAAAAGTTAAACGTATCTTATTTAAAAAAAACTTAAGGGGGCTAATAATTTTGACTTTAATATTTGTTTAAAATGTCTAAATACGACTTTTTCCAGAATAAAAAAAATTATTGGATAGCCTATATTGTGAAGTTTCCTACACCATTAAACATCACTTGGGAAATATAATATTATCTGCTGGGTTCCACACAATTCATTCACCAATTCATTCACCTCATTCACCTCAGCACAAATCGATTAAGTTAATTTAACAGATTTAACAAATTTATGTTACATTACATGATATTACTATCAATAAGAATATTACACTTCAGGTGTCTGCTCTGGAAAAAAATTATGTTGTTTTTTGATGTCTAAACAGTTGATCTTTTGTGTTTAGGTTAGTGGGTCTGTTGTTTGGAGTCATGTGGAAGGCACTCAGCCTTACCTTGGCTCTCTGCCTGCTGGTGGGCTGCAGTGCAGAGAGCGAAACAGAAGGAGCCCGCTGTAAACTTCCTCCCGAGTGGAAGGTTGGGGATGTGGAGCCCATGAAGAACGCTCTTGGACAAGTGACAGTGGTGGCTTACCTCCAGGCCAGCTGATTGTTCTGTCTGGAGCAAGCATCAAAGTCAGTGCAGACAATTATATCGAAACTCAATCTTTAATGTGTCCCAAACCCTTCATTCTTAAACACTCTGTAGCGTTTACACAAGGCGTATTGATCTAATCTCGCTTGTTGAATGTTCTTCTTCAAGGCTTAATGACTTGCTCCTGAAGCTGGAGAAGCAGGGTTATCCAAATATAGCCTACATGGTGGTAAACAACCGTGAGGAAAGGTCCCAGCGGCTGCACCACCTGCTTCAAGAAAGGCTGTTGAACATCACCCTCTACGCCCAAGACCTCAGCCAGCCGGACGCCTGGCAGGCTGTAAATGCTGAGAAGGATGACATTTTGGTCTATGACAGGTTTGGCTTATCCAGTTGAATTCACTTAACATGAATGTATAACTTTATCAATATGTCACTAAATATCTTTGTCAACCAGGTGTGGCCGACTCACTTACCATCTGTCACTTCCCTACACCATCCTGATCCACCCACATGTGGAGGAGGCTATAAAACATACATACTGTGATCGCATTTGCGGAGAGTGCAGCCTGGAGGTAACCATCACCTAAAGTGATTAGAAAAAAGCTAAAGTTTGGTTTTGTGATGCTCCACGTTAGCGGTTTATATATATATATATATATATATATATATATATATATATATATATATATATATATATATATATATATATATATATATATATATATATATATATATATATATATATATATATATATATATATATATATATATATATATATATATATATATATATATATATATTATATGTTTTTAATTACTGTGGTGCATAAAAATGAAAATCAAAACATTTTAACTTTACAAAAAGGGATATTGCAGTGTTTTGACAAAAACTAAAAAAATTAAGCTGTTTTGTAGAAACTATATGAAATAATAATGCAATTACTTTCATTTACTCACTTGAATGGTACTCGCTATTAAGTAGGTGTCAAGACCGTATAAAGGTATAATAAAATTATTTGTGAATTATGCACACGAGAACGTCTTCTGGTTTGCGCATGCGCAGATAATTGAGTGCGCTCAACACCATATAAGGAAAAGAAGGCGGTAAGGAAGTGGCGCGTTTGAAATGAGGTAGAGTTCCAGTCAATGGGCTATATGCACGCATTACTTCCGCGTTTTGTCTAAGGCCGCGGTCCAGCTTCCGGTCTGGGTGATGTTAAGCGGAGGTAAATAGTATTATGGCAGAGTCGTCAATATTTACTCGCTGTTTGCGAGTAAATTATGGTCAACGATGTGCAAATGATTGTCCGGATGTGCTCTACAACACCGCAGAGCAAAGCTTGAGAAAGGTTTCAAGTTGTATGCATCTTCCTACCTGTGCAATTATGAAGGTAAGTTCAGCTAGCCTGAAGGCTAACTTTAGCGTTAATACTCTTACGATCCGTCCATCTGCAGCTTTATCACGTAAGTAAAAATAATCATATGTGTATGTAATTCTGTCTCAAAGTGTCAGGTAAAAACAGGGCAGGAATAAGATCTCAGTGAGAGCCTCCTCACCAGCTGAGAGTAGGACAGCATACATGTGAAATTCTGTCCCATTCATACTTTTACTGTTCTAAAGTGACCACCACTGTTCAGTTCGGATAATCACAGAAACACAGATGCTGTCTTAGCTTGTAAGCATGATTATTGAGCAAGATATATTAGGAATAAAATAATACAATGCCGTTCCATCCACAACAGACAAATAGCACTGTGTCAATGCTGAGATTTATTGCTGAAACAGTGGAGATGACAGACGCAGTGTAACAGTGTAGATAGCATGCTTTCTATTTAGTCGATAACACTGTAATTAAATGGGAGGGTGACCCAAAACAATAAGGTGTCATTAGTTAATTTCACATCAACAATTTGTCAATTGCAATATTTATTAGTTTTTTACATTAATGAACAAATGCTTATTCATTGTGCTTGTTAACTCACAATGTAATAGCTAATGTTAACAAGCATGACTTTGGATTTTTATTCATTAGTAAATTAGTTTAACAATGCTAACTATTAAATATTAAATAGTTATTTTAATAGTGAGCAAATACATTAATTAATGAAACCTTATTTTAAAGTGTGACTAAAGGGAGATACTTTTAAATAATTTAAATTAATTATTTACTGTGTAGTTTAATCTGATGATATTGCTGCAGATGCCTTTAAAAAGAAGATATTTTGAAGAAAGCTGAAAACCTGTAACCATTGACTTCCATAGTATGAAAAAGAACTACTATGAATATCAGTGGTTGCAAGTTTCCAGCTTTCTTCAAAGTATTTTTGTTTGTGTTAAACATCAGAAAGAAACTCAAACAGGTTTGGAACAAGTGAAGGATGAGGAAATAGAATTTTCAGTTTTGAGTGAACTGCCTTTAATGACTCTTTAAAAACCTATTAATATTCTTGTTTCTGTTTTCTAGGTAACATTATGAGATTCAGAGCTAGAAAATTATATGTGTTACTTCATCCTGGAGCGGACATCCGTCAGAAGATCCATGCCATCGTCTGCTAGTTAATAGCTCCTGCTCTTGTGTGGCTGAGAGTGGGATATGCAAACATTTGGTTGCTTTGCTTTTCCAGACAGCCCATTACTCTGAAATGTGTAATGTGTGTTGTCACATGAACAATTGTTTGGAATGGATCAATTATGTGTTAAGTTCCATGAAACAGATGGGTGTTTATTTATTTATTTAATACACATCAGCCCAAATACCTCTCTATGCACAAGTTACAGAAGAAGCACCTGATTCAAGAAAACAACTGATTCAATGTCATTTTTTCTGTTCATCTGAATAAAATATTTTTTTCAAAATGTTACATTTTTTTGACAATTTTTATTTCAAATTACATACAGTGAATTATATTTTATATGTACAGTGAATAAAATAAAGGTCTTTATTCTGAATTTAAAAATTGCACTTAGAAAGTAGCTTAAGAAATGTTTATGTATATTAATGTTCATTTTTTTTACTTCAAAGGCAATGAAAATAAACTATTATTTGCCATAAAAGCTCCTTTCTTTAAATGTCTGCATCCGGTTGGCACTCGAGCCTCGATCAGTTTTCTAGACTGAAATTGTCAGCTACACTCTTGTTTTTTTCTGTTTCTGTAAAATTCTCACGTTTAATATCAACAACCCACCTCTTCTGCACGACTTTGTCTTTTGGAAACTAAGGTAAGAGTTTAATTTTTGACGCTGTGCATTGCTGAACACAGCAGTGGTATCTACAAGTACTGTTCTCACGTCTTTGAAATGACACTTTTAAACGTTTAGATGTCATATTTATGTAGCTGACATAAACATATATAAGTGGGCTATAATGGCATAAAACATTAAGACAACTGTCCAAAACATTTCTCGTTTTTATCAGTAGCGCTCCTGTTGTAGCACTGTGTACGATCGGCGGAAGTAGGCTCGGGGTCTTAAATTTTACCGGAAATGCGTCACGCGCCGCCGTGCATAGAGCCCATAATGTCACGTTAAGATGTTGACCACACGATGTCGCCATGCCACAACAACAGTACTGTGTCAATTATTTTAAACACAGAACAAACTTAATAAAAGAAATGCAAACATTTACATGTATAGTTATATAAAAAGTTGAATGAAGGAGTACTTGTAGAATATAAATGCACACTATAAACATTACAGAAAATATATGTTGAGGTGAGAGAAAAGAGATGGAAGAGTGAGGGAAATAAATTTCACAGTTGCCTGTGGCTTAAAGATCCCCACTCGCAGTGTGGCGGCACTGGAGAATTTCTCATTCCCCCATCACCAAATGATGGTCAACGTGTTCCCTCACTCTCCCTGCTCCCATGCCAAACAGCATCTGGCTTCAGCCTCTGACTGAACTGAAGTGACTCCCCAGCCTCTTTTCAGCCTTATATTTGCTCCATTCTACATACATTGAGGGTGGAAGAGAGATCTGGTTACAATCCCTGCTGGTGCCTGGACCCGAAACCTCCAACTAGACCCAAAGTCCTAAACTGTCTAACATCTTACTGCCACAGCTGTTCCCAGTGTTTCTACAGCTGGTGGTGAGAATGCAACTAGAAAAAATGGTCTCAGGAAAGTTAGTTCTTAAGGAACCAGGTCTAGTTATTAGTTTTATGAGTTCTACCTGCTGTGAAACCCACTCTGGTGTGTCACAGCACTTAGAAAACGTTAAAAAAGTATTTATTAATATTTTTTAAATAACAAAAAGGCACTGACAACATAAAAACATTTTGAAAGTGCATGCTATACTTTCAACGTGCAATTTTTGCCTTGTTATTACAGAGTTCAGCGCAACTTGAAGAGTGCAAGAAAGCCACAGAAGAAGTGAATAAACCGGTGGAAGAAGAACCTCGTCAAGATCATGGTCATCATGAACAGGGTCATCACGAGCATCAAGGAGAGGCGGAAAGGCACAGACATGGCCACCATCATCCCCACCACCACCATCACCACCACCGAGGCCAACAGCAGGTTGATGTGGACCAGCAGGTCCTATCCCAGGTTGACTTTGGTCAGGTGGCTGTTGAAACACCAATGATGAAACGGCCTTGAGCAAAGCACAGCAGGTGAAAAGTGCAGTACAGCTGACAGCAGGGGGCAGATTCCCCTGTGGCCAGCTGATGCTGACACTGACGACAGCTCTTTGGCGGAGAGGGCAACGGGCGCGTGGCAGGTCTCTGACACTGTGATGAGCCTCTTCCGGCCTCCTGACCCTGACAGGGCCTGAAGGAGCAGGACAACCACATCAAGGAGACCTGACAGTGACGTCCCGCCCCTCCGGCCGAATGAGAGCTGTCACAACCAACCTGAGTCTGACCAGCAGGGGACGCCACTTGAGGGTGACGAAAGAAGTAAACAGGGAGCAATCAATAATATCAGCATGTAAACATCAAGTCACTGCTGGTTAACACTCAAGGTGAAACTTACCAACTAGTATTTAAACCTCAGTGTGAGGCAGCACTGGACTTTAGCATCCCGATTTGCAAATTAGTTCTTGTTCAATGCAAGATAATCAAATCAGGAACATCAAAATAAAACAGTTTTGATTTGGCAAAAACAAAGAAACTGCAAGTAACACATTGAATCCATTTTTAAGTATTGTCTTGTAAAACATACACCTAATTTCCCCTAAAAATCATAAATGTGATTTTTTTATCTGGTTAAATCTGACTTTAACTGGTCCAGTGTCTGTATTTTTTCACCTGAGAGTGTGTTCGGTTCATCATGTTAGTGTCTTTTCACCTCTAAGTGCTTTATGTGGTCTTTATGAAGGCAGGTGCAGAAACTATGCACTAGTGGTGCCTGTCTGATGTTTGGCCATACAGAGCAGAGGGCAAAGGTCATGTAACATCCTGTAACCTTGGCTATACCTAATAAAAATTTTGGGGTATTAAAATCTATTTTTCTTAAAGTTCTAGTTTTCAGAAAGATGTTTTTATTGTGTGGAGAAGCAGTAGAAGTGGTTAAGTAGGTGGAAAGTTTATTTTTTAAAAAAGACCAAACACTTTTGAATCACTTTATTGGGATCAGTTTGTTTTCTAATAGTTACTAGTATGTCTGTTGTTTTAGGTATACTTGGCATTACAATAAAAGCAATGTTACTGGATTATAGGGAAATGCACAAAGCCTGTATCTTGTACTACACTTTTTTTTAGAGATGAGCAAGAATTTAATGGAGTAACAAGTGAAAGATTGGATTGTTGTTTTATGATAGATGGTTTTAAACATTTTTTATACTTAATGAAGGTTTTCTGGTAAATCTTGTATCACCTGGAAGACCCGAGAAACTGTATGGAAATGTATGCTGTGGTATAAATGAATGTGAAATGTATGTGAAATGGAAGAGGAAAAATATGTTACTCAGATAAATTCAAATAAAGTAAAAATCAAAATAAATAAACAGTGTTGTACTTGCATTTGTACCTTACATATGTGGATCATCTGACTGGAAATTTTTAGTAATAAAGATTTAAATAATATTGATTAAATAAATACACTTAATTCATTTAAGTATTTTACTTAGATTTATTAAAGTTAATGTTGAATAGTTAATACAATTTATTATCATATTTATTAAATATTGTATACACACACACACACACACACACACACACACACACACACACACACACACACACACACACACAAACACACACACACACACACACACACACACACACATTTAAAAGTGTTTGAAGCCTGAAGATTTGAGTATTCACAAGAAACATCACTCTATGTTGTGTGTCGACTCTTGCTACATAGAGGGTGTGAAGTAGAGCAATCTAAAATATATAAATAAAAGAAATGAATGAATGCTTTACATGCATCATTGATTACATAAACAATCAATTTGTACATTTTATTTGAACTAATTGTCTATCAGGGTATTTGCATAGTCTTAAGAAGTTTTTAAAATGTCTTAACTTTCAAAAACACAGTTTTAGGCCTTAAAAACTGAAATATTATCTTGTAGGTCTTAAATCGTTTTCAGCAGGTCTCAATTTTTCTTAGTTTATACCTTTCCTAGTACTGGGTTGCAGTTGGAAGGGCATCCCCTGCGTAAAACATATGCCAGAGTAGTTGGCGGTTCAATCCGCTGTGAGAACCCCTGATAAATCATGGACTAAGCTGAAGGAAAATGAACAAATGAAAAGCTACCAAATCGATCTAACACACACACCCAATCCCCAACAATACATCTCAATAAATATTTTAGCCAAACAAGATTCATAACTAATATTATAACAGCCTGTTTTAGATATTAAAGAGATACAGCAAGGGTCTGCTTGTTTTGACATATTATTATTTTAAATATAGGAAATATAAAATAACTAATTAATTATAAAAACTAATTAACAAATTAATAATAAACTAACAAACTAACTAGAATTAATTGTTTAATGGGCAAAGTACATATTTTTCTGCTTGGCCATTTAAAAATCTTTAGCGTTTAGTCCGATGCAAGTCTAAATTCTCATTCTTCAAGGTCTTAAAAAGTTCTTAAAAAAATCTTAAATTTGTCTTGGTAAAACCTGCAGAAATCGAGTCTATAAATTCGTAAATTTATAATTCATAATATAAAATTATTTGTGTTATTACATATTTAAGGAATTTCATTATTTGGTAATTATCTCACATGAATAAAGTAAGAAAACAATTTCAAGTTTCAAATGAATCGATTTAGACATTTAAATGCGTCGTTTCTTAGTCATGGGTTGTGGCTGGAAGGGCTTCCGCTGCGTAAAACATATGCTGGAGTTGGCGGTTCATTCCGCTTAGGCGACCCCAGATTAATAAAGGGACTAAAAAGAAAAGAAATAAATGCGTCATTCTGTAACTGACCGACATTCACCGATAGATGGCGCGCGCTCTCTGATTTCCCTTTCGTCCACGTTGCTCACTTTCCCTTTGAGAGCCTCTACAACATTTTTCTCCCAGACCTGGAATCGTTCGCTGTCTGCAGTCTTTCCTTTCAGGTCCAGAGGAGTCTCTGCCCACGAACTCCAGCTCTGTCTCCTGGCAGAAAACGTAGGTAGAGAGAGAAAGAGGAGGAGATATTTTTTTATTTATTTTTTCACAGAAGACAAATAGTTTT